TTCGGGGCTTAATACCACAAACATTCGTCGGTGGGATCATTTCAAACCTCAATTCCCGACCAATTATGAGCGGAACAAAATTTGCGGCAGTGACGAGCCACGTAACAAGGATGAACATTATGTTTAGGCTTTGCTTAGTCCAATTGGAACGGAAATGAATGGGAAAGCAGAGTGCGACAAAACGGTTTATGGCCAGGAAGGCCGAGGAATAGTAGCCGGCGGTACGGAATATCGCGAAAGGGGCTTGAATGAAGAAGCATACTATTGGGGTGACCTTTGCAGAAACAAACATGATTAGACACTTTAAGCCAGTGAAAACATAGTAAATTAAATGAATTGTTTATAATTATACGTAAGGGAAGTGTGCCGGTACCGTGCACACGTAGATCAGGTAGATCTAGTAGAAAATAAATGTGCATAAACGGAAAATCTCGTTTTCGCAGAACACTTTTTACTTTCTTTTATGAGATCCTTTAGCTAAATGATTTATGAAAAGTTTTTCTGCACGCAGTATTCGGTTGGGTAATTATGTGTGAAATAAAAATTCAAAATGTTTAAACGCAAGATGTGCCCCGAAAGTCTAATTATGGGCTGAATTCATTCAAATTTTTCACGTAAATGAGCAGAAGTATAAAGATTTATTTTACGTGCGCCAAATCAGAGTTCTATAAGATTGCTTTAAAAATTCCAAAATTGGTATAAAAAGGTTGAAAAAAGGGCTGTAAAGCTTTGGTTCGCTGTAAGAACGATCAAACATTTTGGAATTTTATTTTACCCAGAACTTTCTAACCGGATCTTGAACGTAGAAACAGTTTCTCCACTTTGCTTAAAATCATTTCGCCACAAATTGTTACCAAACAACGCAAAAATGTTTTTGGGAGTGCGCGAAAGCCATAAAGTGCTGGTTTCTATACATGTATTTCGTACCATGTTCCGCGGCACACTTTCTTTCGTTAGTTTTGACTAATTCTTTTCCTAGAAAATATTTTTGAATCTGTTTTTAAAAAACACGTTATATTCCGTAGTTCAAACAGTACTTAACTTAACGTTATAATGTTGCGAAAGATTTTAGACGGATTTTTGACAACACACACTGCAAAGTGATTGTCTTACTGGATATTCTGCGTAAAGGGTCTGTGTAAAGCTGATAGGGCAGCTGATGCAGCACATAACCATTTCCACAGAGGTGGCATGGACGATGAGCAGTCTTGTGCCGCTGCGATCGCGTCCAGTTCTCCGCTTGGACATTTGCCAGTGTTTCCATACGGCAACCATCAGCAGGATACATGACGCTCCTCCGAGTGCACAAAACGACATGGAAACACCATACCACAAAATCAACTGCTGCTGGTAGTTAGTGCCGCTGATTTGGGTGGTATTTCGGATTAATTCAGGTAAAGATGAATAATTTCGGTGCACATTAGTCGAATGATTGCCGCTTGTAGTCGTCATAACTTACTAACATTGAGTAGTAAAAACGATGTGATGGGGTAAGCGAAACATTCATATATCTTCGATTTTCTGACTTGTGCTTTGTTGGTAAGTGCTGCAGTTCACATCATCACAAAACCAAACCCAGCTGTTTTGTAAGACGCAGTTAATCTGTTAATGCAACTGTCAGCGTGGATGGCGTGGAATATCGCATTACCGTGACGCACATTATTCTAGAGCCTGACGAAGTTACCAGAAAAATTCCAGTTACATCCGCAGATTGATTTTTTGTTTGTTAGATTTGCACACTGCCGACGTTCACCATTGGTCATACCCACATGCTGCTGCTCTAGGGGCTTTCGCCTTTCTTGTGTTAGTGGGACAGTGTACTGCGGCAAATTGTATGATCCTGAAGTAATTTCATGAATCTACTGTCAGAAAAATTTCTGGCCACCACCTCTGGTGGTCGGACGAAAGTTCTGTAATTTATTGGATGACACACTAACCCGATAACATCACAATATGAACATACGCCCAATCGCTAATACAAATAAGGACGAACAGTGTCGGCTTTTGATTGAACCGGTAGGAAACAGGAAACTAAACCGCCCATAAACGGTTTAGGGTTATCGGAAGATGAGCGTTACAGGCAACACCTTCTAGAAAGAACAGGCGTTTATTCAAAGGAAGTCTGAAAAAAGCTTTTGCGACAACCTGTAGCATAATGCACCGACTATAAAGTAAGTATGTCAACACATTCCTCTCATACAAGCTTGATAATATCATAATATTATCTGAATCCTGAAAGGCAATCGTTTTCGGGTGATGACCTTGTGTTAGTGTGTTATTGTGCAGTACTTTATACTGTACCTGGACGGGAACGTTCACGTTCGCACATTCTCAAACACTACTATTTTACAGTGTTTATGACAATATGTTGCCCAATGATTTGTATATCACCACCATTCTGAGTTCACTGAACTCAGAGTGGCTTGCGGTTTGTGCACTCGCGGCCTCAGGCCGCAAGTGCACAAACCGCAAGCGCTTATTAAGGGATTTGGCCCGGTACATAGTACCAAATTCGGGCACATACACGGGAACTTTTGCTGTCGCGCACTCCCAAACACTTTTTTGCATTGCTTTATGACATTCTCTAGCCAAAGGATTCGTATACATAGGCAAAAAAACCGTTTGTGCGCGCAACATCCGGTTCAGGAGTTATTAGTGAAATAAAATTCCAAAGGTTTAAACGCGCGGAGGTGCACCAAAAGTCTCGTTATGAACCGATGCTCTTCAAATTTTGCACGAAAACACACATTACTAAGAAGATCGTTTTGGGACAGAACCAACTTTCTAACATTTTTTTCCGATTTTAAAATGAATTTTAAAATTTTTGAAATTCATTTTAAAATTTGAAAAAAATGGTGGAAAGCTGGTTCGGTACCAAAACGATCTTCATAGTAATGTGTGTTTTCGTGCATAATGAGACTTTTGGTACACCTCCGCGCGTTTAAACTTTTGGAATTTTATTTCCTTAATAACTCCTGAACCGGATGTTGCGCGCACAAACGGTTTTTTTGCCTATGTATACGAATCCTTTGGCTAGAAAATGTCATAAAGCAATGCAAAAAAGTGTTTGGGAGTGCGCGACAGCGAAAGTTGCCGTGGATGTATATGAATTTGGTGCTATGTACCGGGCCAAATCCCTTAAAGGGAAGTCAGAAAAAGGTTGCGAAGTGGTTGGTCGGCATCAGCGCTAACCGTATGGAGTGTGGCGTGATCGTTAAACTGTTAACGTGATCGTTAAACTGTGTGGCGTGATCATTAAACGTGAGCTTAAACTGTTTTAATTGCAGACAAAATCAAATTTTTGTACATGCAGATACAGTAAAACCTGGTAACTAAGGAGAAATACACCGTCTGTTAAGCCAATTCCGCATTTGTTAGCGAAGTGTATTTGATTTACAATTTTACACTACGAGGAGGATTGGTGTTGAGTCGGCAGTGAATTTATCGCTTAAAGTTAAGCTGAACACCCAATCCAGTGGTGGTTTTTTTTTAACCGTCAACCGTGGTTGGAATCAACCCCAGTGGACTAGGTGTTCATTTAACTTTAGGCGATAAATTCACTGCCGACTCCACACCAATCCTCCTCGTACTAAACCCAAAAATAGTAAAAATTCTGCTCTACCCCCTCCCGCGGCGGATGTTGTAAGATCATTGTGTCCAGTATATTAAATTACTGCTTCGACAAAGGAATGTGAGCACATGCATTTTGCACTTTGCTTATACAGAGGTAGTTTAACGAAAAACAAATCCAGTGCTCCACTGTTTGCTGTTTTGCTTTTCTATATTAACCAGGTTTTTTGTTAACTTAATTATTTGCGAATCATCCATATAACCAGAATTATTGTCGTGCACGCATGATATCGTTATTTCAAGCTAGTATTTTCGAAGTCAAATCGTTACCCTTTTGTTTGACTGTAATGGTTGATTTTTTAAGGACCCACAGCAAAGTCCGACAACAAATTTTACTTAAATTTCTTAGTCTCTTTGGCGTGGCGGTGCCACTGCGGTCAAGAATGTCAGCGCCGAATGCGGCAAGAAGGAGACACTGTGCCAGAGTGCCGTTTCCTTAGGAAATCAATTACTTTATTACGAGTAGCAAAGATTTGCTTCATTCAGTATTACGTGTTATGGTTCAAGCGCATTTGCTCCCAAAACAGGTCGCTTTTCTAGATGGAACACCAAACGTTATGGGCAGCTGTGGAAGCTGTAGAATGAAATTAACAGTAGGGCGGTTTGCCCATTTGAGCTTTTTCTTCATTTAACATGGGAGTGATGAACTTTATCAAATAATTATGCTAGTATTAAATAGCCTGTCAACGGAATGACAGACGCTCATTATAAAATCTTCGTACGGCGTGACATTATGGTAATCAATATTATCGGGTCGGATTACGTGATAAAGGGCGCGGCTAACATCGGCGTCGCGGATGCTTTAGGGATGTTTAAAAGTGCACCCTTGCGCTACTTGATGCGGATTAAATTTTTAATAACTTTTTACAGTGCCTGTTCAGATAAAAATATGAACAAAACCAGCAGAAACGTGAAAAAAAAATCAATTACCCGTTCACGTTGTAAGGCTAGTTATAACTGGCCTGGCCTTAATCGCAAGAATTTCTCAAAACGCATTGCTCATTCTCTTTATAGTTTTCCTCCTCTCCGAGCTCGTTATCGATTTGATAAGAAATAAAGAATTTTGCAAAAATTGAAAATTCAGATAACCCTATACCTGATTCGTACTGTCTGAGCAATGTGAAATTCGTACTGTCTAAGTGAGAGCGAAACTACCAGTCATTGCGCTACCAGGTTTATGTGAGTACACTCTGTTTTTGTTTTGCAAACCCATGTGTTGTAACTGGCTTGTGCTAATAAATGTGCAGTACACAATAATACTTTTATTGTTTTTTATCAGACAAAAATTTCAGCATCACAATAACCCGTTGCTGTAAACTGCTTTGGTCAGAAGTCGCACCCTGCTAACGCCGTCGTCCGTAGTCCGAGATATTCGTGATAGTCAGTGGGAAAAATGCATGATCAAAAATCACGCATTTTTTGCCTTGTGAATTGTTAAATATCCCATTTTTAGTGCGAAACATTATTCAATACCGCACACAGCATACTCAGTGCGACAGTACCCCATCAGCAGTCATACGTGTCTAAGCTTTTGTACCACCACATTACTGAGTGACATCTGATAACAAATCAAAACCGCACGTGTCCAACTACTAGTCAAATATTCTTGGATGAGGTAGACAATGTAAAATTAAGTTTCCGGCTTGTACGGACCGTAGTGGACGCGTTGATGCTGGGGTTCACTTTCATCCCGCAGTCGCGAAATTTCATTTCCTGGACAGAGCTCATCCATCGTTTGAGCATGGAGCGATATTCTTGATTCATAGTGAAGAAGATTACCTGCAACCAGCAATACATCATCTGTTGACGATTATTCAGAAATTTTACCTCGATTATATGCAAGACTGCCAAAGCGCGGGTTATGGGCTTTGAGCAATTCAGCCCATTTATTGCGTATAAAACGGCAGCAAATTTTCTGCGGAGACACAGTTTCAAGGAAGGGAGGGAGTAGACTTCATAATTTTCGTAAGAAGCGCGGGAAACATCTGCAAAAGGCGAAATTTCGCCGATGAAAACTGAACTCTGGACATTTGTCGAAGACATTTTGCCGGGCGACGTTTCGTCGCGGGACATTTGGTCGGGGGGACGTAACGCCACAAGACATTTTCTAGCTAGGCGATTTCGACGCTGAGACTCTTCGTCTTTGAAACAATTCGTTTGTTGGACCTGATGAAGCAGTCAAGGAAACCAAGGAAAAGCAATCCAGGAAAATCTGAAAATCAAAAAAACATAAGAAACCTAGGAACAACTAAAACAACCTCAGAAATCATAAGACCTGAGAAGACATAAGAAAAAACATAAGAAAGAATAAGAAACACAAAAAAGCAAGGAGTGACAAGAAAAACTTAGATATCTGGCGACCTTGGAAAGCTTTGAAAACAAGTGTACTGAATGTTTTTGCGAATTGTAGCACCATGCGAGACTCGAAACGAACTGTCAGAATCAGACTTCTTGCAGCCAAAGATCACAAAGTGAAAAAGTCGCAAAGCAATATGCCTCAGCCTTGAAATGTTACAGCGTCCGCATGTCCCTGGGTGAAATGTTTCCGGCGAAAAGTTGCGCATTGAATTTAAGTGCGGCGAAATGGCAGGCTCCTAGGTTCGCATGCGGCACCCTGGGCAGATGGGAGTATGTCAGATAACAGATATGTTTTTTTTCGTCCATGAGCGCCCACAATTATGCTGCTTTAAATATCAGGAGCAGAAGGCCGGACGCATCAAAGTATTGAAGTTCATTAGAGATGTCGCCAATACAGTATGTATGCCTTCATTGCCCTGCCACTCTGTGACCAACTGTCGCCGGAAAACACAATGTACGTACTAATTTACAGAGTACAGCGCAAAATTTTTAAACAAGTGCAGAGGTACGATTACCGGATTGCCACCATATCCTAATAGAAAGATGAATCGCAACCACAGAAGCGTGTCCGGGGTTAGACGCGCTAAACCCTTGTCTTCGAAGAGCGTCAATAAAGGCTGCGGATAAAAGCAGACGCAATGCCAGAGTGCCGACACCAACAGGACGAGCGCCAGTTGCAAGGAGCGCCGATACGACGCTGATGTCTGGTTAATTCGGCCCGAAAGCTTTTGCACAGCAACGAATCCAAGCATTAGCGCATAAATACTCCACACCAACGCTAATGGTAGATGTGAGACCAGCGTCTGGTGGATCTTGCGGGCTTCCGGAGTTCGGGGCTTAATACCACAAACATTCGTCGGTGGGATCATTTCAAATCTCAATTCCCGACCGATTATGAGCGGAACAAAATTCGCGGCAGTGACGAGCCAAGTAATAAGGATGAAAATTATGTTTAGGCTTTGCTTAGTCCAATAGGAGCGGAAATGAATGGGAAAGCAGAGTGCGACAAAACGGTTTATGGCCAGGAAGGCCGAGGAATAGTAGCCGGCGGTACGGAATATTGCGAAAGGGGCTTGAATGAAGAAGCAGACTGTTGGGGTGACCTTTGCAGAAACAAACATGATTAGGCGCTATAAGTTAATGACAAGCACAGTAAATTAAATTATCTCGGGAATCGTCTACAAGCCAGGAAAGTGTGCCGGTATGTAGTAGCATACAAATCTGATAGAAAATAAAATTAATGTGCATGAACGGCAAATTTTGCTTTGGCGGACTCTCAAACACATTTTATTGCGTCGCTTTATGACATCCTTTAAGTTATTTATGAGAATGCTTTCTCCGCGCAGTAATTGGTTAGGTAGAGATGGGTGAAATAAAAAATCAAATTGTTTAAATGCGAGATGTGCCCCCAAAGACTTATTATGGACTGATTTTATTCTAATTTTTTGACGTAAACGTGCGAAAAAACAAAAACCGTTATTAGGTGCGCTAAATTACAGTTCTAAAATTGTTTTAAAAATCTCAGAACTGGTCAGAAAGATTGAAAAAAACTGTAAGAACTATCATACTTTTGAAATTTAATTTTACCCGGAACTAACTAGCCGGATTTTGAACGTAGAAACAGTTTCCTTTTTTTGCATAAAATCATTTTGCCACAGACTGTTATGAAGCAACGAAACAAAGTTCTCGACAGTGCGCAGAAGCAAAGCTCCCGTTTCTGTACATGGATTTTGTACCATATACCGCGGCACATTTTCTTAATTTAGCAAAAAAATTTGTTTAGGATGTAGTTTCCAATCTTTTTTCAACAAAAAGCGTTCTGTAGTTTAAACACAACTTAACATTATAATGGTGCTAAAGATTTTAGATGAATTTGTCATTTAACATAAAAGCGTCAGTAACAACTGACACACAACGCACAGTGAATGTCTTACTGGATATTGGGCATAAAGGATCTGCGTGAAGCTAATCGGATTATTGATACAGCACATAACCATTTCCACAGCGGTGGCATGGACGATGAGCAGTCGCGTGCCGCTCCGATCACGTCCACTGTTTCGTTTGGACACTTGCCAGTGTTCCCATACGGCACCCATCAGCAGGATATATGCCGCTCCGCCCAGTCCACAAAACGACATGGAAACACCATACCACCATATTAACTGTTGCTGGTAAATAGTGCCGTTGATTTGGGTTGCGTTTCTGATTGGTTCAGGAAACGATGACCAGTTTCGCTGCACATCAGTGGTAGTCGAATGATTGGCGAGGGACCACCGCTTGTAGTCGTCATAACTTACTAACATTGTCTAGTAAATCCGGTCTGATGGGCTGAGCGAAACATTCGTCCACCATCGATTTTTTGACTGGTGTTTCGTTGGTAAGTGCTGCAGTTCACATGATCACCACACCAAACTCTGCTGTTTTATAAGTCGCAGTTTGTTAATGCAAACATAAGCGTGGATTCTGTGAAAATATCGCACTACCGTGACGCATATTATCCTCCAGCCTGAAGAGGTTGCCAGAAAAATTCCTCTTACATCGCCATATTAATTCTGTTTACCAGGTCATTCTTTTTGTCTTCACCGTTCGCCATACCCAAGTCATACTCTAGGGGCTTTCCTGTATTGCGAATTATACGAACTAAATACAGGTGCGCGAAAGGTTTGGCCATACAGATGATCTTAATCTAACAGCGGGTGGCCTCTTGAGACCGATGTCTCTATGTAAATGTCTAACAAACCGCTGTCGATCACGGTTCTTCGGCAGTATTATGATGTTTTCTAAACACCTGAAAATCACAAATATCTGTGCAAGAGTATTAAACAAATATCCTCGTCAATCTTCTTTTAATGTATCACAGAAGAGCAGCAGAAGGGTGAGGCGGGTGGTGTGACGTCGCAATACCGTTAATTTCTTGCCAATTTTACAGTACTGTAAAATTTCTCGGTGTGCTACGGTACAGTACTGTACAATTGGCAAGAAATTAACGGCATACCGACAATTTGCTGACCGCGATTTTGCTGACCGGCAACTGGCTAACGACTTATTGCTGATCGACAAAATGTTTTCCCGACAATTTGTTGAAAGGACAACTCGGCGATCGACATGTTGCTGAACGACAATTAAAACCGTCACAATTTGCTGAACCCCGACAATCTGTTAACCTAATAAACATAACGAATCGTAAGCAAACATAAGAAAACATATGGCAAACATGTCAAAAATTAAAGAAACAAAAGAATAACATAAAAAAAGTAAGGTAACAAAAATAAAATATAGTAAACAGAATAAATTAAAAAAATATAGGAAGACAAAAGAAAATGTTATAAGAAAACATAAGACAACGCCCAATATAAGAAACAGAGAAGAACAAAAGAAAAACATAAAAACTAAGGCAAGCAAAGAAACCAAGGTGAGCCAAGAAAACCCTATAAAAAACACCCAAAAAGCTAAGAAACCTAGAAACCACACCGATGGGCAAGCTGTCGGTCAACAAAATAATTTTAAGCAAAACGTCGATTCATCGATTAGTTACCTGCCGGTCAGCAGGTTGTGTGAATCAATATGTTGGTCAGCAAATTGCCGGGCAGCAAAACGGATATCAGAGAACTGACGTGCTACCGTGTACGAGAGTGTACGGCGGCGGCGTGCTCACGCAAAATGTACTCACAAATACATTAAAGACACACCGTGCTAACAACACTGTTATTCACAGTCCAGCACCAGGAATAAAATAAACTCCAATGCCCATATCAGTTTCCCAGATGCAGTAGATAAACTGATAACAATTAAATTACGAAATGTAGAATGGTTTTCGACGGATGATGGTCCTCACACAAATAAAAATTACCAGCATTAACGCATTGGCCGTCACGCTTAAGACAAAACAACTAGAGGCAACGCTATCAAGCACATACGATGCTACTGGGGCCTTGCAATACCGTAAGCCGTTCTGTCCCTCCCTTGATACATGTTACGGGACAAAAAGCTCATTAGGGTTCATTCAAAGATCGGATGTCCATTAGGCTTCATGCAAAGAAACGGACTTGATCGGATGTCAAATGGATGTCAAGTTCATTTCTCTGCCGTGGTGTGTTTACAAAGTCAACGTTGCAGTCGATGATGGCTGATTCCTGCAAAAACTCTATATCGTTCGCCATTTTTCAAAAACAAACACATCCGGAACCTGACTGCGTTGACTTGCAACGCCAAGCCCTGCACGAGTAAAAGGCATAATCAGGATTCAGGGAAGTGGCAAGACTGGTGAAAACAAATCCATAATTTAATTTATACAACGCATAACGCTTTATTCTGGCCCATTGTACGGAGCGGAGTGAGGTAGTAATCCGGCCGCAGTCGTTGTAGACGACGCAACTGGATGGGAAAGTGTCCTCATGTTGGCGTGCAGCTATAACGGTTCCGTGGCACAGTAGGTCAATATCCGCATTCCGCACCCTGCATAGGTTATCTGAATAAGTACCGTAAAAACAAAACAAAAACAAAGCGTATCCTATCGGTACCGCGGTATCTTTATCAGCTACCACTACCAGTGCCATGCCTATGTCATCTGCTGCGTCCAAAGCGCCTGGCTGCAGATTATTAGTTTAGTGCGCAAGCGTTGAGTCCTGGTCAAATCCAGTTTTTTGCCTTTGTTTGCCGAATGTTTCCCTAACTGTATAGGTAGTTTAATTGCCTTGTGTACGCAAAGTTTGACGAGAACAATATATAGAAGAGTGATATTATAGGTATGGGATGCTTATCCCACTGGCACGGGCATGCAGTGGACGCATTTTCTCCGGAAAAATTACCTGCTACCAACGATAAACATACAACGTACGCCATGCTATCTGTTTATCGTGGATTTCCGGTTATTTTCACGGAGTAAATACAGTACAGAGGGGTAAGTGTGCGATCAACGATTCCTTCGCCTTAACGGAAATAACACAAAATGTGGTACGTACAGTACAATTATGGATAGCGCTAAATTTCATGTTTACTGTACAGTACATTCGCAGAATCTTTTACTTTGTTCCCGTTCCCGATGGTTCTTTGGCATTATTTTTTTAACCGTCTAGTGCAACTTACACGCGAATATTGCTTTTTTTGTGATTTGTTTGATTATTGAGAACTTACAATGAACACAAGGAACGTCGTACTCACAAAGCCTGAATATCTGCGTATGTGTAAATTGTGACTAAATTAGCTGAGCATCGACTATTGTTAGACAATTAGACTTAAAATTTTGCCTTATCTGTAAATGTAGTGGACAATGTAATTTTCTCTACCCACTGATCTTCATTGCATTACTGAGAATCCGTTTAAGCAAATATCTTGGCGATAATACAACCAAGAGTCATCCAAGCCGGGCACCATGCTGGCAAGCTGTAAGCATCCATTTCAATAATTCTCATCGGCGTTGCAAAACAAAACCGGTTGCAACGCCGCCGGGTTTAATAGGACTGGTAAGAGAGTAGTAATACAGGTACTAACACAACAACGGGTTACATTAGGAAGTGTTACTGTTGATACAGTAAAAATTAACGCTTTGATTCCGTACAACAGATAAGCAAGTCTTACTGGTCATTTCGACGAAAACGTCGTATAACGAACTGGTTTTATAAAATCATTAATGGCAGGTGACATAACTTATTCATTCGACGCGCATCATTGGCAAAATTAATTGTTTCCGGTAAGAGTCCTTCGACACATGTGCGAGGTTGATGTGAGTCGTCAGTGCGCAGTCACTGCGCACCTGGGCGCTTCTTTCTTCGAATCTATCATAACGTCGTCATTTCGTAGAGGATCGCTGGTTCCATAAGGGACTGAAACCATAAGAAATCGTTTCCGTTGCTTAGAGGGAAGTTGACGCGCAACTCCTTCAGATAGTTCCCCTAGTTGTCGATTAGGTGTCATTTTGAGCATGCAAACGGAACATGCAAACGAAGTTAACTTATCCCATGCCAAAAGAGCACGCTAAACATTTAAAGCTAAAACCATTTGAGATGTGCGGCAAATTACCTATTACTGCCGGTTAGAAAGGTCACGATCTTGAAAAGCACTGAGGGTGTGTACGCTCTGTTAAGAGAAATTCCTCATTTGTGCTCGGAATTTGGAGAGCACACTGCTTATTAGTTCCCGAAACGCCAGCCAAAGATCCGACAGGGAAAACAGGAAGATCAGAGGATCCATAACCATCTGGGCACCGAACAAACAAGTTACACCTGAAAATATTGTAACATCTTCCGGTGGTGGGATCACGCTATATATTGCGTAGACCAGTGTGTTCGGCGTCCAACAGATAACGGCACTTATCGTTAACAACGTTAGCAATACAAGGGCCTGCTGCTGCTTTGCTTTGCTGCACCGTTGTACATCGTCACTGGGGCTGTTGTTAGAACCAGCGTTATTCCGCGATACACAGACAACCCCATCAGTAGGGTTTACAGCTTGCACGACAACCGCTCCCAGGCGGCGTCGCTCACGACGGCGAACGCGATGTTTGTGGATGATCAACGGCAACGCCGTAATTTGTATTAACCAGGGTCCCATGTATAAAAGAAAAAGTAGAGACATGTTCCATTCCACCAACATAGGGTAGTTAACGGCGCAGCCATTGGTACGGATGTCCATGCGGTAATAAATGGCATCCAGCATAATTCCCGATAACATCCCTCAAGGGTTTTTGCTGCAGTTTAGTGTACATAATATACTCTCCTTGTCACGACTTTACTTAGTTCTCTGACGTCTTCTTACTAATTATGTAATATCACAACATAACATCCTCGTGTAATATCAAGTATAAATATGTACAACATATCGTTTCTATGCTACAATGACACCTTCCCCAAGTGGGGAACCCACTTCACAAACACAAACAAAAACAGAACTTATTTGCTCATGCAATAACAGCTTGGGAGCTATTCCAGCGTTCGCCCTAGCTGTACGACGCGGTTCCACCGGTTCCGGTTTTGTCTTCTTGGGCTTCGTAGCCTGCGGCTTATTCACGGTGGCATGCTTGGTTTCTACGGGCTTCTGCGGTTGGGAAACCTTCACCGCATCGGGTTGAGCTTTCGGCTGATCAGGTTCCGTTTCAACAGTCTCTGCATCGTTTGCAGTAGACGTTGGCAAGGCTTCAGTGGTCACTTCCGGAAGGTCATTAGCAATGGCAGGCGGTGTTGCTTCCGCGTTGGCTGATGGTGGGATTTCCGCTTCTACCATTTCGTGCATTTCAAGCCAACTTCGTGGTCGCATCTGATTTACATGTCGACGCCACATCAGATCGCCGACTTTGACGTCCCACACCTTTGTGCCGTAACGTCTGACCAACTTTCCGCTTATCCAATCAACTGTGCGGTTCAACCGGTAGTCGCGCACCAGCACCAGCTGGCCGCTGTGGAACTCCTTCGATTTCGTCCGCTTATCGAAATTCTTCTGGTATCGCTCGCGATTGCGCTCTGTCGCGGTTGCCATGACGGGAACCAAAAGGTCCAACGTCGATCGGAGCTTCCGTCCGATAAACAGTTCGGCCGGTGACTGTCCGGTCGTTGCATGTGGCGCACTTCGATAACGCCACAGGAACTGGCGCAACGCATCCGGCAGCGCATGGCAGTCGGCCATCAACTTTGCAACGCCGTCTTTAACGGTCTGCACGTACAGCTCGGCCTGGCCGTTTGACTGCGGGTGACCTGGAGGCGTCCTGGTGTGCTTAATGCCATACTTGCTGCAGAAATCCACAAATTGCTGCGAAGTGAATGGTGTGCCGTTGTCCGACACAACTTCATTGCACACACCGTAACGACTGAACATCGTGAGTAGCGCCTCCATCACTCCTTCCGTCGTTGCGTGCTTCATTTGCACCACTTCGGGCCATTTGAACATTGCGTCTACAACCACGAGCAACATCGTGCCTCGATATGGACCGGCAAAGTCCATGTGATCGCGCTTCCAGGGAGCATCGGGTACCGGCCACTGCGCTAGTGGAACTTTCGCCGTCTCACCCGCGCGCTCGGTGCATATTCGGCAGTCCTTGGCGACTTGCTCGATGTCCCTGTCCATCGATGGCCACCAACAGTAGCCTCGCGCTTCTCCTTTCATTTTCCCGGCGCCCATGTGTGCTGCGTGTAGGTGCTTCAGTATCCTGGGACGATACTTCGCGGGAATAACCGTGCGCGATCCCCAGCACACACAGCCATTCAGCACGCCCAGCTCGTGCTGTACCTTCTTATACGGTCGAATCCGATCGCTTACGGAGTCCGGCCAGCCGCGACTGATGCACTGGCGTACTTCCTGGAGCTCCGCATCGGCAGCCGTTTCCCTTGCGATGTCTTCCACGGACACGGGTATGTTTTCGGCACTTTCCACATGCAGCGCGCTCGCTACGTTGTCCATCCCCAGGTTTGGGTATTTCTCCAGCTGTGTGGAGTGGAGCGGCAGTCGGCTGAGGCCATCCGCTTGACCAAACTCCTCGGTGCGGCGGTACTCTATGGAAAACGTATATCCCATGAGCAACAGCGCCCACCGCTGAAGTCGATTGGCCATGACCACTGGGACACCTTTCCGCTTGCCGAATACGCTCAGTAACGGCTTGTGATCCGTTAACAGCGTAAACTCCCTGCCGGCCACGTACTGATGGAATTTCTTACAGCCGTAGACGAGCGCGAGTGCCTCTTTTTCAATTGGCCCGTAATTCTTTTCCGCCGCTGACAGGCTCTTGGACGCGTGCGCAATCGGCCTTTCCGTTCCGTCGGGAAAACGGTGACACAACACCGCACCCACACCATACTGCGACGCATCCGCTGCCAGCACCAACGGCATTGCGGGATTGAAATGCACCAGGAACGTTGCGTGGACAATTTCTTCCTTGAGTGCTTGAAACTGCTTTGCACACTCCGTCGTCCATTCTCATGGTGCGCCGGACTTTAATAGGCGGTGAAACGGACTGCACTTTGCGGACAAATTCGGTACGAACTTGGCGTAGTGATTTACCATGCCCAGGTATGCACGTAACTCACTGACGTTGGTGGGCATCTTCATATCCACCAGTGCTTTCATGCGATCATGGGAAATATGTCGCCCGCGACGGTCCACCACAAAACCCAAGTATTCGACCGATTCCTGCATGAATCTGCACTTTGACAGTTTCACTCGCAGTCCGTACTTCTCCAGCCGTTCTAACACCGCTTCCAAGTTTCGCTGGTGTTCCTCGTCCGTCTTGCCCGTAACGATAATGTCGTCAATGTACACTGCCACGCCCTCGCAGCCTTGCAGTATGCGCTCAATGATATGTTGGAATATGCTTGGTCCGCTTGCGACTCCAAACGGCAAACGGTTGTACCTGAACAGACCTTTATGCGTGTTGATGACGACAAGCTGCTTACTTTTGTCGTCCAGCTCTATTTGCGCATACGCTTCAGCCAGATCCAGGCTGCTGAACTTGTCACCCCCGTTCAACTTAGCAAACAACTCGTCGGGAGTGGGCAGCGGATAGGTTTGCACGTCGAGCGAGTCATTCAAACCTGTGCTCAGGTCAGCACACGTGCGGATGTCTCCTGCTCGCTTTTGCGTTCCAACAATAGGTGCAGCCCAGTCCGCATGCTCCACAGGCGTGAGTATCTCTCTTTCCACCAAGCGGTCCAGGTCTTTCTCCACTGCGTCCCGATAGGCGAACGGGACCGTTCGTGGCTTACAAAAGACCGGCTTCGCGCCTTCCTTTAGGTAGAGGTGAGCCTTAAACTCTTTGCAGTGCCCAAGTTCCTCGCGAAATACGCTGCTGTGGCGATCCAGGATGCTCTGGACAGTTGCGCGGGCGGTGACCTTTGACACCGAAGACACCTGCAGTTCTTTGAGACTTAAATGACTCAGATCTAGCGCTTTGATCCAGTCACGCCCCAGCACGTCACCTCCACGGTCTACGACGACGACAGGCAGTGACTTCCTTGCTCGGCCATATACCACCGGCATCGTTGCACTTCCGATCACCTGGATCGGATGGCCCGTGAAACTTTGTAGTGGTGTGGCATAAGGCGTCAGCTTCGGCGAGCCGATCTGTCTCCACGTGCTCGCCGTGATGATCGTCACACCTGATCCCGTATCCAACAGCATGGATACACGGGCATGATTCAAGGTAATCGGTACCCGAATCGATCCACCCACTTCTTCCCCGATAGCCAGGACGTCGAAGTCTTCCTGCACTGTCCACGTCCGACGGCCACCGCCGCCTCTGTCGCCCTTCGGCGGAGGCTTGCACGCCTTTGCGACGTGACCTTTCTTGCCGCACTTTCTGCACGTCGCTTCCTTCGCCCAGCAATCCGCCTTCACATGCCCTTTTCCGCCACACGCGTAGCATGCGCCGCTGCTGCCAGCCATCTTGCCACTGTTGCCGTCACCACGCCCAGGCCGAGTACCACCGTTACGTCCCTTCGGATGTGGCTCCGAACGTCCCTTCTGGCCGCCGTCGATCCTCGCCACTTCAGTAGTAGTGGCTGTCCGCTTCAGCTGCGCCAGCTCATACTGCTCTGCGATATTCAGCGCTTTCGCCAGAACATCAATTTCCTTGGTTCGTAAATGGCGCTGCGTCGCTTCATTTTGGACTCCGTTTAGGAAGGCCGCACGCATGTTCCCCTCCAACGCGTCCGCCGGAAAAGAACACAACACGGCCTTCCTCCGCAGCTTATTGGCAAAATCCAAAAGGGTTTCACCAACTTCCTGCTTCAGGAGGAAAAAGTTCGCCCATTCTGTTGACTGCAGTGTCTTCTTTACGTATGCATGCTCGAGATGGGCAATGACTTCATCCAACTTTAGCTCTGCGGGATCTTGTGGAAGACACATGGCAAACAGCATCTCATGTGCTTCCACTCCTAGTGAGTCCAAGAGCAGCCGCTTTTGATCGTCCTCTGTGGTGAGTTCCAGTATTTTAACATAGTTGTTATAACGGGAACGCCATGCTTTCCACACCATGGAGCCTGGCTCGAACTTGAGCAGCGTCGGGGATTCCTTTGCTTTTGCCATAGTAGACGGGCCGGACGTGGTCAACACATTCGTGGTATAATCAATACCAATATCGTCCAGAGACATTCGTTGAATACCACAAAAAAAATGGCCTTCACGCCAAGTTATGTCACGACTTTACTTAGTTCTCTGACGTCTTCTTACTAATTATGTAATATCACAACATAACATCCTCGTGTAATATCAAGTATAAATATGTACAACATATCGTTGCTATGCTACAATGACACTCCTGTAGCATAATATTAGTTTTAGGGTTTTGATCCGGTACATGGCGCCAAATTCGTGTACCTGCACGGAAAATTTTACGTTCGCACACTTCCGAACACTATTTTGCAATGTTTTATGACATTCCGTTGCTTAATGGTTTGTGTACATTGGAGTGAAAACCGTTAATGTCTCATTAGGAACCGATCGGCTTCAGGTAAATGGATTTTAGTATAAACTTGTTTTCACAGAAAACCAGCGTTTTATCATTTTTTTCAAATTTCAAAATACGTTCTGAAATTTAAAGAAAATTTCCATAACACAAATAATGTGATGTACAGTATATAACCACCATTTAAAATGTGTAAATTGCCATTTCAGTAGTGATTGAACATTAACTGCAGCGTTTAGTTAGTTAGTATTGTGCTTGTACAAGCATAAGTGACATAGATATAGTATACTGTACTCTGCACACTGAATAATACTAAAATAATAGTTATTATCTCTTCGTGCACGGGATCACGAAATGTGTATACTTACGCAATGTGTAATTGCAATACAAGTATAGCGTACAAGCTTGTCCGGTATTTTCTGACGAATCAATACAGCGATTTACACAGATTTGCGTGTTACGCCAAACTTCACAATACGGCGCGCCACGCCACACTGTTTAAACACGTAACTTGCATTTGGCTGGCTGGTGGCTTAGTACGCGCCATATAATTTATGAGAATAATAGTAACTGCCTGGCGGAAGGTGGCTAAAAAATGTTCGATGCAGTAAGCGACAAACTAACTGCGGAGCGCATTTAAAGATTTTGATAAACGTAGTGAAGTGGCCATCGTTATAAGCGCAAACTTCGCGCTAGCTGTAACTTTACGTAGGAAATTACCGGACAAGCTTGTACACGCCGTATTACTGTGTATCTGCCAATAATTAGGATCGAAATTAATTCCGATGTCAAAAACATTTTCCCATATCGAGTAAACAAAGTCCACGATAATCAAGTTCACCATGAAGATGTAAAAAGAATTTCGCGCGATGAGATGCTTATTCCAGAGGACAAGACACAGAACCAGTCCGTTGCCTGTCACACTGAGCATGCAAATGACGATGGTCGATACGCCGATTACAATCCCTGCTGTACTGTCGATGATCGGGGAGCTTACATTCATGGCTGTCTGATTTCCATAAAAAGACGAACTCGAAGTGTTATTGGCCATTCTTTCTTGGAAACAATAAGATGCAGAAGATTAGCCTAGTTGCGACAGTGATTCAGCCCGATTCAGCGCAATTCATTGGCCCATAACTGCATATCTGCTTATTCTACGTTCGTCAATAACTGTCGTTACTCCAGTTTAAGCACCGGTCAAAGTTTTCGCGGAAGTTTAATCACCTACTTCGGCGAAAGTCTGCTTTGCGGCTGCAAAATTTTGTCACTACTTACGCACATTTTCACCACTCACCGCACATGGGATTACGGATCTGTGTTTGTGCAGTCACCTGTTGTCTCGCTTAGCCAGATTTCTGGATTACCTAACTGAATTTTTCACTAAATAAGTATATCTCAAAGCTGCAAAAAGAGGAGACTGATAATCTATATACAGCAGCTGACAACCGTGACACCGGATGGGATATTTCGCACTTTTCTATGGGAAAAACGCCGGAGACTATTGCTCAGCAAAGCAGCGCTCTTACGGGATTATCCATTATTTTTCTACTGACACATGATGATATTGTATGGCCTCTTTAATTACAAAACCAGCGCAATGATGCGATAAGCAAACGCAGCATTCACGATACTTCGTTCACTTCTAAGCCGGAATTGTGCTACTTCTCAAATACTTTTGATGCGAATGCGCCGACTGGATTCTTTACAGGATCCATTTCTTTAAGTTTAGGATGAAAAGATATTCCGCTCTTGCGGTATAATGCATCTTGATCTTTTGGAGCTACTTACTATCTGCGTTTTTACGGAAGGGACCGAGCCTGCCAATTTTCGGTGGAGCAGGCTCGGCATTTATAACGTACACTTAACAACTGCGCCTTGTGTAACGAAGCAACCAGGCCCAATCTTTGGCTTGTTTAAAACAATACAAATGCAGTTTCTACTATGCACGTAGTAAATACAAAGTATTATCAAGGAAATATATATATATATATAGATCTATATATATATATATATATAGATCTATATTATGATCGGCCGCCCCGTGGAACGTGGCTAGAAAAAACCGCTAAACAAATTGAATAACCGATTTCACCATTAAACTCAGCATGTTCCAAAAGGGTCCCACATGCATTCCAAAAGTATCCAAAAGTTTCTTTTCCAAAAGTATTCCCTGAGACCATCGCTCGGATGCCGGTACCGGTACAGGCAGCGTTCAAGGTGACCTTGAAAGACTTTCTAAAATATTGTTGCGTGGAGCAATTATTCCAATACAGAGTAGTGTAGTAAGTAATAAAAACTGAATTTTTTTAAAAATAGATTTCAGGACTGAAAAGTGCAAATTTCGTGAAGTTGTATCACGCCGGAAGCCTTTGTAAATTAAAAAGAGGTCTGCCGGTGCCATTCATAGCCGGTGCCGGTTTTAGTGTGCTTTCCGCATGGGAAATTTTGCTTTCGCGCGTTCTTATGCATAATTAAATCGTAAATTTTAAATCGTATAAATTTACGAAGGTATATTTGGAAAGCAAAATAGTGGAAATCATTCTAATTCGGTGAAAACGACCTGCATCTACGTACAACCAGTTACTCATAGTTATATGTTTGCTTGCAAAATTTGGAGAAGATCGATCGGATCGTTTGGATTGGATCTATAATGAGACTTTTGTACCTCAATTCTTTTTAAGCATTTCGAAATTTTCGGCACATTTTAAAATTTTCGGCACACTTTCGTACATGAGGAGAAGACGAAAGCGCATCGTCTGCTCGATGGAAGCGAGTGTAAAACTGCGAGTGTCTGATCAAATTACTGTAATCAAAAACTCTCGGTGCATATGCGCAAAGTTACTGACAAGGGACAAGTTAGTTCGGAATTTGCGATAAGCAAGCGGCCAGTGCCCATGCTATAGATAGCACGACTTGGAGGCACCGCGTCCTGCGTCTGAAAGGGATGCTTGCCTCTTTCGCCTTGCGAAAAACTGCACGCGCGATGGACCGACCACGGGCAGACACAGGACAGACCAATTTTTCCCTCCTTCTGTGTCTCCTCCATTGTTTTACATCGCGTATGCGCATGACCACTACCGGACTCCGCATAGTCACTCCGCATACTTTTTAATTACTTTTTATGGCTCCTGCGCGCGGGTTGAGCGCCTGCTCTCTTGATCGGCGGCTTATCGCAAATCGGGTAGTGTATGACCACGAAGCACGACCACCAAAACTGCCCTGGAATGTTTGCTCCTTGTGTGTGTGCAGTACGAGACTATTGACCAGTCAGCTGAATGAACGGAAATTACAGGAACTGGTGTGAACTGTTCCCAGAAATTAAGACTATGTGAGAACGGAACCGATACCCCTGCTGACTGCTCAGTGCTTGAGGTGCCAAGTGCACAGAATCACACAAAGGGTCACACTTTCCACTGACCAAACCTACACAAGAAACGGGAGACATACTTGACCACAGATCAGGCCTGTTGAGTGAACGGAAGTTACAAGATCACGTAAAACTGTTCGACTTGAGACCGAGGATTAGAATGATTTCTTAGATTTCTAATAAACTATAGCGGATCGAGATTCTTCAACATTGTTAAGATGTTCGATGTATTTGCCGTACCACTGTGACATACAATCTTAGAAAATGGATGCACGGATTATTTAATTTCCACGTAGCTCAAAGGCTGAGAAACCGGTGCATAAAAATTATGTAATTTTTTGCGTGTGCGCACTGATTGTATTATTAATTTCTTCTAATGCATCACAGAAGAGTAGATAGGTGAGGCGTGTGCTAAGCAAATAAAAGCGCTCGCGCATATACGAGAAATTTAATATTACTCGCATTGTACAGCCATATTAATGCAGCGCGCAACTGTGAACATCCCGGGCCGCAACAGGGGCGCGTGTGTGTCAGAGCCGCTCTTTGACAATATACAGTATGCCGAACATCAACCCACGTACTGCGCTAAATGTGGAGAACAAAAACAGCGAAAAAGCGCGAGACCTGCAGGGCTCAGCTAACATCGACAACAGTTATCTCGTTGGTTACGACTTTGTTATTCTTAGCGCTTCCGGGGTCACAGTACCCTGACGGATTCAGTGGAGGATGGTAGAACCCAAATCTATCGGCGATTAGCTGGGTGCAGTAACCGTAGATCAGCGCGGAACCGGCCCACCGGAGTTGGGCCGAGTAGAGCCGATCGAGGACTTCGAGGACGAGGACTGCGCATTCGAGAACTCAAACAAGGCACATAACTGTATGCAAGGAATGCCACGGTACCGTCCAGTATACGGTACCGTGGATGTAATGAAAAGCAGTTGGACCTCTAACGGTTCAGTGCGCTAGATCAGGCTCTCCTTGTGTCCAACAAGGCGGTCGTGGTTGTTCCGCCGATGGAAAAGTTGTGCGAGCTGTAGTGATTCGACAGCTCTTTATACCAAAAGAGAAGGAAGCCTCTTTAGGTATAGTCACATTTTTACGAACAACTATGAGGGAACGTGACCGTTTTTGAAATCGAGTCGTCGAAATCATGATTTCGATGTGATCGGCCTGAGCGGCAATGGCTCCTCCCTAAACCCAAAACCGTTTTTTCGGCGAAAATCATACGGACCTCTTTTGTTAGCCGCTGCCCACTTCCGGTCATCCTGCATCTACCGATCGTACTGTACATATTGTACCCTGCGAAATTACTTATTGTCAATCATTCTCTACTAATTTAACAATAAAAATTAATGCCACCTTGCGTTATGATTTTTTAAAGGCATGATCGTTATTTCGTATGCGGAAAATTGTTGATGGTATTGTTGATGTTTAACATGATGATACTGTTGGTGCTTAAAATCAACAATACAGTTTTCTGCATATAGAAAGTATGCCAATAATATTGGTATAATATATTATGAGGCGCATGCTCCGCGTCCACTCTATAAACTAATCACGCAGCTTGAAGAAAATGTGTCAAACATTGCATATAAAATTTACTACGCAACTAAAATAAATAGACAGTGCACATTACGTGTACTGTGCAGTACAGACCGTTACGGGCGGAAATGCGGCTATGTTACTAGTATGCTAATCGCGCAGTCATTCCCGTCAGAAGGACATCCCAACCAAAAAATTTCGAACGACTATGAGGAAAACGCAGTTCAGTTACCCGACTGGATGGTGTTAACGGAGATGGTGCTAATCGCGATGATTTGCAAATGGGACCGTGAAATTGTGAACTACGGATGACACCACTTCATGCATGCCGCAAGCAGAAATATAATATTTCCTTGGACGTTCAGTTTCCACTTGCCGATTACTGCCACTATTGCACTCAAACTCCTCGCGGACGACAATAATGTCGAAAGACACTTTCGCAGCCAGAACACTTCGAATTAGGATGGATAGCGGGATGTTCTGTGATACGGAAAAAAATCAATCGCAGCGGCGGTTGCGCTATTCGAGAAATAAATGTTCTGTCGTTATAACGCATCGGCGAACGAACGCCGTTTCAGTGTGCCTCTGCGCATAGAAATTCCTTCATGAGAATCGGAAGTGTCGCCGTCCAGACTCAGAAGTTCTTACTCATCTCAGTTAAGGGATCTGCCGGCGTTTTGACCACGAGAAAATCGGTCGGCGTTTGACTACACAAAAGTTCGGTCGGCGTTTTGACCAAGCAAAACTTTGGCCGGCAGGAAATTCTGCCAGCCGAATTTTTGCCTTGGCCGTTAACACCGTACCGTAAACCGTACATTCTGTTCCCTCGACAGATGGATACCTGAAGACAGCCCGTAGGCAAATAAATAAAGAATTACATGTAGGTATGTTAGATCTATCATCTAAGTATTTGTTTAATAACCTTCATGTAGGTATTAACTAAATACATGTACATGTAACTTATCGTTAATTACATGTAACTAAATTAATTAATTACATGTACATGTAACTTCATTACATGTAGGTATATGTTAGATCTATCATCTAAGTATTTGTTTAATAACCTTCAAAATGTGTTGCTCCAGCAGATTCAAGGAAGTCATGCAGTTCCTTTTATGTACAAGTAGACGTACAATACTCGTCTTCCACCTTGTCGTATGCAATGGCTCATTTTTGTAAATTTCAGTATTGCTAATGCATTAACAAAATATTTAGTAACACGTCCGCAACTCAAAAATCATCGAAATAAAGTAAAATGTTTGCAATTAAGGTGGGCGCACATTAGGACGTCGTGAAGGCGTGCTGAGATCAAGCAATCGCTTAATGATCATAGATACATAAATAAACTAGTATGTTAACGTTTCCCTCTACTACCGTACATTAACTACTGCATGGTCAAAATCGGAGCCGTCGCTTTCCAGGAACGATCCGAGAAAATTATGTGACCTGAGTTGTACGAACTCAGCAGTCGTCTGTCAAATTGGGCTTTCGGCTGGTACGGGCTGTGGTGGATGTGTTGGTGCTGGGGCTCACTTTCACACCGGCACCGTAGCATTCCAGGAACACTACTGAATGCATCCATCTCCTGAGCATGGAGCGATATTCTCTGTTCATAGCGAAGAATATAATCTGCAACAAAAAGACCGATGTTTTTTATCTGTTCGCGATTATCCAGAAGATGTAGCTGCCAGATTTAAATTTTTTTAGTAATTTTATACGTATTAATTTGAATGCTGGTGTGCTGTGTGTTCCCTTGTTGCATATAGTGATAAGCGAATGCTAACATAAACAGTCATGTTAAAGCTTGTTTGCTCAACGACTACGTAGGATTAATTAATTATTCAACAATAATAAGTTACAAGCCACTTAACGGCAAAATTACGATATAAACTGATTAGCTTAATCATTATAAATAATTTATCAAGATGCATGATGGTTTACACAGAAGAGTATTAATGAAGAGAAGAGTATTTTTATGAATGTAGTGATCACGGTTTACCGCCTTACCGGGTTGCCAGCATATCCCAATAGAAAGACGAACCGCACCCACAGAGCTACTGCTGGATTCCGAAGCAATGCGCCACTACGGTCGAAAAACGTCAGTGCCGAATGCGGAAAAAAGCAGACGCAATGCCAGAGTGCTGCTACCAACAGAACCAGTGCCAGTCGAAAGCTACGCCGGTAGAACGGTGACGTGCGGGTTTTGCGTCCCACTATCTTTTGCGCCACAACAAATCCGATCATCATAATGTAGATCGCCCCCGTCAGCGTCAACGGCAGATACGTCGTTAGCACCTGGTGAATGTTGCCGGCTTCCGGGGTGATGGCCTTAACGCTACACGCATTTAGCGGTGGAGTCATCTCAAATCTCGATATCCAGCCCAATATAACGGGAACATACATCGCGCCACAGATAAACCAATTGATAAAGATGATACTTGTGTTAGCCATTTGTTTAGTCCAGTAGGCGCGGAAATGAGCGGGAAAGCAGACCGCGGCAAACCGGTTAAACGCCAGGAAAGCCGATGACCAGTAGCCGGCGGTACGGAATATCGCGAACGGTAATTGAAGGAAAATACAGCCAGTTGGAGTAACCTTTATAAAAAAGGTTTATTTCAGCATTATTAATTGTGCTATTATTAACATAAATATGACGCAAAAAAAATTAATTTAACGCAAGAATCCATGCTTTAATTAAAGTTGCTCGAAAATTCTGGTTGTATCAGCTTCTTTGAGTAAAAAACCTACCCGAGTACTTATAGTACAGTTCTCATTAAAGCTATCGTATATAGTGGTTATAGATTAGTGCAATATACGTTTTTAGGTGCACAACGCACAGTAAATATCCCACGTCAGAAAGTATTTTCTGAATTACATCAAAATACTACAAGATATCGGTGCTTTATCACAACATATATCCACGGCAAGATTTGGGCAGCCGTTTAGAAACCAGATTTTATATCAATACAAATTTGTATCGAAGTTACATCGTTTTAGTAGCAAAAGCAAAACTTTCGTAAAAGCCAGCTTATGCGTTGTGAATGTATCTGCGTTGTTACAAAAAATTAATTCCATTTAACTGAAAAGTATAAAAAACGGAAGCTCACTGGAAGACTGGCATAAATTGTCTCAACATAAATTGTAGCAATATTAATGCCCAAAAATTAATTCAGTTTATGTATCGCCAACTCGCGCGCGAAACGCTCCACGGATACTGTAGAGCCGTGATATGCAATCAGTAAAGTTTCGGTGCAAAATCAAGTGTCGGTCGACCGACATGAATTATCAAACAATTGCAATTTGTTTAAAGACTTCTAACTGTTCATTTCGCTTCTGAGTGCATCGCATACAAAACATTTAGCGCATAAATGCCCGCGCGTTGACAATAAAACTTTTGCTGCAAGGCTCAGTTAGTGAATTCTGCAGTTATGCCTGCTCTGATTGGTCGAGTGGCAACGTCAGTGTACACAGCACGTTCACGTTCAGCGCCGTTGTGCCGTCTCTGATTCTGTAACTTAACTTTAATTAACTCACAACTTTTGACTTTTTAAAAGCCATGCTTTTTAATTCTGATTCTTCATAACCATCTCCAAATTTTCTGTTATATGGCTGTCGACAGCCAGATCTTTTATCGGCATTTTCGTGAACATTGATAGTGCTGGCATTTTTTACCGTAAAGCTGCTTGACGCAGCACGTCTATGGAAAAACATGCAAGAGCGCGTTCTCGTCTGCGATGCTGCGAAGACCCAATGAGTTTTAAACTGATTCTGCGGTAAGAATTTCAAGTAAACCTTAAATGTTAAACACCTGATTAACAGAAAAATCATTTTTTATTTTGTGCCAATGTTTTCAGGTCATTGAAAATGTTGCACAACGGGAAAATCGTGCATGACGACGTGCAGTAGGACAGCAGGTATACGCTTGATAAATGATGGTACAAAGCCCGCTTTTAGTGGTGATTTTATTTAAGTTTGGATTACTTCACAAAGCAAATGGCTAGTTCAATCACCAATACTGCAGTGAATTGCTGTATAGTCTTGATTTTTTTAAAACAAAGGTTTTGCTAAAATTTTATTTTTACTTTGGTGCATGTCGACATGCAAGCGTTTAAAAAACTGAAGGTTTCCAATGTGGAATAAACAAAAATTGTATCTGTATAGTAAATAAAAACTTTTTTTGTATGACTTCAAACTCAAATTTCTTTCTTTTAGTTTTCAAAAAATAAACCACAGAAATCATAAAGATGTGTTGCTTGCAATTTGACTGGTAGTAAAATGATAATCGTAGAAGCATTTCCTCTTTTCAAAAACTTTAAATAAATCAATATGCTTTTAATTAAATTTTCTTTTATCCTCTAACCGAGTTTTTTAATGTGCATCAGTATTTTTAATTTTTTAAATGCAATTGCATGTCAACATGCATGCGTTGCGCAGAAATAATCCGATAATTTGTTCAGGTATAGAAAAACTGTCGAGTACAGAACTTGTCGAATCACTTGACCGCAGTGGGATGTATATCCTGAAATATTTGAACTGTCTGTAGTTTGAATGCGCTACTTAATTGTTTTGCAGGATCGATGACTGACTGCTCTGTTTCGTCGGTTTTCGGAAAGCAGTATCGCCGTGAAACGCATGGATGTCAACATCCAAAATTTTAAACTGAATGCCGCATGTTATCTTTTTATTGATTTTATGCTAAGCTGCTAAATGCGTATTTTTCCATGAAATAATGTTTTTTGCGAGATAAACGTGTAACGGATCGTGTTTTTAGTGTTATTGGCATCGCCGCTGTGTTTTAAAACAAGCTCGCAGTTATATACCTGAATAAACATATTTTACATCGAATACTCATATCGAAATCGGTCATTTTAGTATAAATCTAAGGGTTATTACATGGTCTCTAATATCTACATTTGATTCAAAAGCTACCAATAAACTATATCACCATTCTGACGAGGGTATCTTACTGGATATTGTCCGTTGTGCCGTCTCTGATTCTGTAACTTAACTTTAATTAACTCACAACTTTTGACTTTTTAAAAGCCATGCTTTTTAATTCTGATTCTTCATAACCATCTCCAAATTTTCTGTTATATGGCTGTCGACAGCCAGATCTTTTATCGGCATTTTCGTGAACATTGATAGTGCTGGCATTTTTTACCGTAAAGCTGCTTGACGCAGCACGTCTATGGAAAAACATGCAAGAGCGCGTTCTCGTCTGCGATGCTGCGAAGACCCAATGAGTTTTAAACTGATTCTGCGGTAAGAATTTCAAGTAAACCTTAAATGTTAAACACCTGATTAACAGAAAAATCATTTTTATTTTGTGCCAATGTTTTCAGGTCATTGAAAATGTTGCACAACGGGAAAATCGTGCATGACGACGTGCAGTAGGACAGCAGGTATACGCTTGATAAATGATGGTACAAAGCCCGCTTTTAGTGGTGATTTTATTTAAGTTTGGATTACTTCACAAAGCAAATGGCTAGTTCAATCACCAATACTGCAGTGAATTGCTGTATAGTCTTGATTTTTTTAAAACAAAGGTTTTGCTAAAATTTTATTTTTACTTTGGTGCATGTCGACATGCAAGCGTTTAAAAACTGAAGGTTTCCAATGTGGAATAAACAAAAATTGTATCTGTATAGTAAATAAAACTTTTTTTGTATGACTTCAAACTCAAATTTCTTTCTTTTAGTTTTCAAAAAATAAACCACAGAAATCATAAAGATGTGTTGCTTGCAATTTGACTGGTAGTAAAATGATAATCGTAGAAGCATTTCCTCTTTTCAAAAACTTTAAATAAATCAATATGCTTTTAATTAAATTTTCTTTTATCCTCTAACCGAGTTTTTTAATGTGCATCAGTATTTTTAATTTTTTAAATGCAATTGCATGTCAACATGCATGCGTTGCGCAGAAATAATCCGATAATTTGTTCAGGTATAGAAAAACTGTCGAGTACAGAACTTGTCGAATCACTTGACCGCAGTGGGATGTATATCCTGAAATATTTGAACTGTCTGTAGTTTGAATGCGCTACTTAATTGTTTTGCAGGATCGATGACTGACTGCTCTGTTTCGTCGGTTTTCGGAAAGCAGTATCGCCGTGAAACGCATGGATGTCAACATCCAAAATTTTAAACTGAATGCCGCATGTTATCTTTTTATTGATTTTATGCTAAGCTGCTAAATGCGTATTTTTCCATGAAATAATGTTTTTTGCGAGATAAACGTGTAACGGATCGTGTTTTTAGTGTTATTGGCATCGCCGCTGTGTTTTAAAACAAGCTCGCAGTTATATACCTGAATAAACATATTTTACATCGAATACTCATATCGAAATCGGTCATTTTAGTATAAATCTAAGGGTTATTACATGGTCTCTAATATCTACATTTGATTCAAAAGCTACCAATAAACTATATCACCATTCTGACGAGGGTATCTTACTGGATATTGTCCATAGAGGATCTGCGTAAAGCTGACCGGATGGTTGATGCAGCACATAATCAGTTCTACGGCCGTGGCGTGGACGATTAGCAGTCGCGTGCCGCTGCGATCACGTCCAATTTTCCGCTTGGACACTTGCCAGTGTTCCCATACGGCTCCCATCAGCATAATACACATCGCTCCTCCCAGTCCGCAAAATGTCATAGAAACACCATACCACACCGCCAACTGGTGCTTGAAATTGGTGCCGTTGATCTGGGATGCATTTCGGATTGGTTCAAACACGAACGAGTAATTTCGGTGGGAACCGGTCGGATGGCTGTTGAAGGAAGATCGATTGTAGCCGTCGTTACTTAGCATTTTGATAAAGATTTGATTTACAAAGCAAACAATTTAGCGGTCACGGCAACCAGACTTAATTTTGTGGCTATGGTACTCGTATTATCGCGCTTTGAACCTTGCAAGTGAGACAGCTGCACGACACCAAAAGATTACTTGCTCCCAATTATAAGGTTTTGCAGGTCATAACGTTTAATGCGTATGATAGGTGGAAATACCGTGACGCATGTTGTTGTCCAGCCTGACAAGATTTGTAAAAGATTTATCACTTTCATCTCCAGATTAAATCCGCGTTAGCCAGGTTTTTGCGTTGCCGGTATTCACAATGTTCCCAGTAATCTTTTTGTTCCGACAGCATGTTTTGACCGATGTTAAGAATGGTATGAATGGAATGGTTTCCGATGTTAAGAATGGTATGAAAAGCTATTAGAAAACATTGACCGCGATGAAGATTCCTCGTTATTGTGATATTCTGTTTAGCACAAAGCAGACACCGGGCGTATCCTTTGAATTTATAAACAACATAAAAACTCGGAGTTCTGAGCTGGATAATTGAATAAGTAATGCGCACGAGCAATAATTTAATCCCTAATCATATTAAGTTCGTAATAGTTATCATGCACCATATAAGCTTATTTTCGCCTGTAACAGTGAGATGACAATCGCGCAGCGCGCTATGTTATGCAACATGCAGGAATTCAAACGCACTGTGTCTACTGCGCTGGTGAAGCGTGCGGAAACAGCCTGGGTGTAAATCCACGCAAGAAGGTCAAACATGCCTATGACGCCCTACGGTGCCCGTTTAAATATCCAGGAAAAGTTGTTACGTTTCAGTAAAATCCGACGTGTCTCTTCATTTCCGGATAACATGCTCTACTACGGTAATACAAAGTTTACATCCCGGAACTCATTTTTATTACATGGAGACATTACAGTGATTACACTGTGCGCCAATCGCTTATTTATTACGCAGTTATACTCGTATCTCGATCAAAAGGATTGTTTTCTTGCAAAGAAATTATTAATTAATTAGGTGCCGTATTTGTGTGTTACGATATTGGTAATTACATACTGTATCGCCGACAAACGGATGTATATTACTTACTACAGAATACAGATACACAACATACATGGTGACATACGACATATCGCACACATGAAACAATTGATATTATAACAAACTAACCCTTGTAAGTAACTGGTAATTAAGTACCCGTACTATTGATTTTCTAGAGGCGGTAAGCATATCGTCGAAACTCTGGGCGGCGTTAAAAAATTGCGCCAACTATCGCGTAAACTCTACAGTTCTTTCTATCCCAGTTTATTAATTCTGAATGTCACACCTGCATACTGTAGTACAAAAATAGGGTGTCACAATCCAAGCAAGGCGGTTACAGTACATTTTTGGTACTTACAACTCAAACACATAGTATCTTTCAGTGTACCGGAAAAGACAGTAACACCTAACGGAAATTAGATCGTCAGCTGTGCCTAGTTTCCGTTTGGGTGTGTCGGCATGGTGTTCAAATGTAATAAAGAGTTTGGTGCATTTGTTCAGACGTGTCTACAGACATTGTTGAGGTAAACAAACCTTATCTAGCAAGCGTTCCCAGCTATAAATATGAATGACATTTCGACGAAAATTAAGTTTCATTTGGGTATGCTTCCAATTTGATAAGTTTTATTTGGGTATGCTTCCACTTCTTGGAATAGACACACCTTTCTCAGCGAAATCGAAGCCATTTCTTGTGTGACCGAAAGAGATGATGAGGATGATGGGCGGAATGGGTGTAAACACACACAGCAGAGAAAGATATCGAACTTGGCGGTGAAAATATGCAGCTACCGATAATGGATTTGTCTCCAACTACATTATCAAAAGAGTAGGTAAAATTAACGAAGTATTGGGCATAGTTAGTTTGGTTGAATTCTTCGTTTAAATAATTAGCCATTAGTCCGAGTGCAAATAAAAAAAAGCAGTGTGCCAGTTAGTAGTTTCCCGTTGGCTGTATCGGTTAAGCGTTCTCACTTACTTGTAGTTAAAAATCGTTTCAAAATACAGATGCGCTTACGTTATGCCGCGGCTAGAACGATGTGTACGAAAAGGTCATGGCAAGATACATGGTAGATCCAGAGCAGGACGAGGAACTCTCTCCTGCTATATATTTTTACCGTAAAGCGAACTATAGTGTTGAGTCACTGTTGACTGTTGCGCTTCGTACGTCCTGCAGTGCTCGTCAAAATGGATTTTTTTGATAATGTGCTGATGCGCATAATAACGCGCCCAGTGTCTTTGCGGTATCTGTTTAACCTCAAGTGCTCGGCAGATTTTGGCATCCGGACCCACTAGAAGCGTTTTAATTTCGTATGAATTAATGAAGGGCGCTTAGGGTAGTAATTATTTATATCTGCGGGGCAATGCTTTAATTCACTAAAATCTTTTTCTTACGAAGCATGCCCTGAGTGATGGTGCCAGTTTAAGCTTTCTTTCGTAACGATTCTCGATCCAACAGAAATGCAGTGTATTATATAACCTACAGATATACAAGGCTTATGCAAAACATGATAATATAAGGTACCAGTACGAGAACACATTAATTATCCAGAAAAAAATATCCCAGGACAATCAATCAAACAGCGAATGAAATCCTACGCGCAATTCTACTTACAGTACATCATGTAGTCGAAAAAAACTTTTTTATGGGAAGTGAAATTCGTTTTCATCGCATTCCAGTAATCAGCATAATACACAAACGCTTCCTCATTATGAGATTATGAAAATCTCAACCGCAGGTTGCATATGCATTTCACAGTGCGCCGTTGATGAGCTTGTGTTGCTTAACTGAGCCGGGAAAAGGCATGCCCTTTAATTAAGTGAAATCCGCGGTATTTGATTTCCGCAGAGAATGCTTGTTAACAGAATGACGCAATACGGGATCCACTTTCTGTGCACCGCATAGTGTGCCAGCGCGGAGCGAACGGATCCACATTCCACACATGGAACGATATTCAGAATTCATTCCGAAGAAAATCATCTGTAACGCAAAAAAATCCAGTATGCTAAGGTCAAGGATTGCAATCATTTATTGAGGAAACGGGAATTTATGCAAGACGGTTGAGAGTAACACTACCAGCAAGTTCTTCTCAAAAATGGATTTTAAAGTTTTTCAGCAGAAATAAAAATTTGGTGCATCATTGGAAAAACTTGAAATATATACCAGCAATTGGTATTTATTAAGCTGTAATTATTACAATAAATCTTGAACGGAAGTGACGCAGCATCTGTATCATGCAGCAAGCTTACCGGATTGCCAATATAGCCCAAAATAAATATCAGCCGTAGCCACAACGCTAGTCCGGGATTTCGCACGAGTATACCACTTCGGTCGAATACGGTGAATGCGGTTTGTGGAAAAAAGCAGGCGCAGTGCCACAGAGCCGAGATAAAGAGGATCAGTGCCAGCTGAAGTGAGCGCTTTCGAAAAACGGAATACCGACTGCCGGCCAAATTAACCATCCGTTGAAATATAAGAAATCCAATAATGATCGCGTAGATGACACCCGTTGCGCACAGTGGTACGTATGTGGACAATACTTGGTTGATCAAGTTGGTCAACGGTGTAAAGGACTTTATGCCGCAGCCATTATGCGGCGGGAGTGTCTGGAATTGTGACCCCCATCCGGCAGCCACCGGCAAGAAAATGCCCAGGGAAACCAGCCAGGTGATGGCGATAATAAGGAGGTTGACGCGCTGGTGCGCCCAGCGTGCGCGATAGGTCACGGGGAGACAGACGGCCATGAGTCGGTTGAAGGACAGAAAGGCCGATGACCAGTACACGACTGAGCGGTTGAGAGCGAATGGAAGCTGCATGAATATGCAGGCAATTGGGCTGACCTTTGAATATACAAACATGTTTAGATGGTATAATATTCTTGCGAAATAAGCTTGCTATGTGATTATGCCAGATTCGAGGTAACAATCTGAATGTTTATGAGCCCGTATTCATATGAGTAATACAGTAGTATACGTTCGATCACGTTATTGAGTAGATTTATCTATTATCTGCGCTACTTATGGTTAGTTGTCTTTTCAACAGATACGATCGAATAAGAAAGATCACTCATTGCAAATAACCGTGTGAACTTAATATTGCAGAACGTCACGGGACAGAAAATTTACCGATTCGTCATAAAATATAATCGTCGAGTTTCCGAACGAAAAAATAAATTGACTGACAGGTGATATTACCACCGTGTTTGGTCAATAAAGTTGACAATTTAAACATGCTTTTAAACGCAGTACAATTGGGCTTATTTGTATTCAAAAGAATGTTGCATATCGTAAAAACCTTCTATTATTTTCATCTATGGTTTATTATTTTTATTAGTCGTATCATTAGTAAAAATCAGTTTTTACCAATATTATCAATTTCTTATACATATTATTTGTATCCTTTCATATTTAATTACGGCAACGCCATACTGGATATTGTCCATAGTAAAGTTGGGTGAAGTTGATCGGCGCGCATACGCAGCACATGAGCATTTCCACACCCGTAGCATGGACAATCAGCATCCTCGTCCCACTGCGGTCATCGCTTAGCTTGGACCTTTTCCATTGCTCCCACACAGCGCCCGTTAACATCACCGACAAGATGCCACCCACGATGCAGAACGCCATGGACACTGCATACCACAAAGATAATCCGCCGCCATAGCTTACCGGAAAATGAGCCGTTGCATTCCCCGCCAATGAACGGTTCCAAGCGGAATAATTGTGCTGAAGAACTACACTGTAGCTAGACGCATTAGTCCAGTTGTAGAGACTGTACCAAAACATTATTGACCAACGTGAAAACTAGCAGTGCGCATCTAGTATACTGCGTGAGTGCTCCTTTAAATAAAGCGGCTTGTGTGACCAATCTTCATCATCAAGAAACCGTTTCGTATGGCGGTTAAATGTGGTATTAACGTACGCACGGCTTACAATAAAAATCAATTGTTTATTTTAAGAATTACTGATTCAATATGAACCAGTTATCAGACACCAGAATACGCGGAATCTTAGACGGTGGAAGGATAAGCAAAGAGTAACGATTTTTACTGTCTCAGGATACCCAATTGTCCCATTTATTTCGGAAAGGTTACTATGTGATACAAATTAAGGTATTCGCGACATAATGTCAAGCCAGGCGGCTACAGCGTGTGACATTACCGTTAAAAATTATCTTGCTGATTAAGGGATGCGATTGCGTGATACCTGCGCCTTCTTCAGTTAAAATCATGTGCACATACTTCCGTTACGTAAGATTTCACGTGATATTTAATTTATCAAAGACAGATTTGTGTACTCAGGTGAGGAGAACATAACCGGAATAAACACTGGTTAGCCTCACGTTAATCAGCTAGGGTAGTCTATCGTGGTAAAGAACTTGTTAAGTCTAATATGGTGAAATCACGAAGAAAGCCGCGATCAAGTAGCGATTTTTTATAATTTCACGATTGTTTCCTGAAAACAATATCTGCTCACAACAGCCATACCTGATTAAAAAAGTTAACCGAACGGAAGAAGTAGTATAAAGACCTTTTCGATGGGCCGGTAAATATTCGATTCTCATAGTTTTTAATTTGCAGAAAATACAGAATTAATGTTATTGCAGGGTAGTAGTTTGCGTAATCCTCACAACAACAAATACCTTTTTATGTTACCATGCACCAGAGAACACAGAAGCGCACAAAGAATATTTTGATTACGAGTTATGAAAAGTGTATACTTATGTCTATACACTTAAATCTACACCCATGCGATTCCGCTTCAAAAAAAAGCTAATGCTTACTGCTTTGTTACGGCGATTCTGCCGTAATTTTGTTGTATTTCACTTAAAGGATCTCTTTCCGAATTGCTTTTTCACCATGGTTCGGTGCCTCCGCCATAAATTTGCTTCTAAATGAGTCGACCGGGAGTATCTTCGATTTGGTCATCTTTGGCTTATCTTACGCGATGTTTTAAACCAACCCAAAGGTTGGTGTAAAACGTCCCGTAAGATAATCTCTTGAATGCAGCCATGTTCGGCTGTCTGCAGATTAAATCATTCCGTTGTTATACTCGTGTTAATCAGTTAATTTACTACAAAGTCTTAACAGTTGTTGGAATGGGCACGTGTACGCTGCAAACGAAAAGAGTGTTTGAATACAAGCGGACATATCAATCGCTGACACAGACAACATTACTGTTTGTCGAAGCGTCAGGATTTATGCGTATTATCTCTATAACAAACTGATACGACAAATAGTATAGTACCAGATTAACTACAAATTACTGTTTTAATTGTCGCTAATTTTAACTGCGTACTTCCTGTCCATTTTTTCTCTCTGTAGAGCACAATGTAAATCCTTGGCGATGGCGCTGGGGATATATCGCTTATCGTCGCGGCTTTTTTTATCACTACTGAACACTCACTCACTATAAAGCTACAAAATTACAATTTAAGCTCGTAGTATTTCCTAAAGGATTATTATGAGCACGTTCAGTGTGTTAACAAGTCCTTTTGTCATGTTTCGGCCACCAAACGTTATTACAGACGTACCTTTGTTTTTTGCCCGAGGGGCACTTTCCTTGTAAGGTAATATTTACCGGCACAAAAAGTAAAAACGGCAAAGAGACTGATAATTTATTATGGTATTATTTGAATATTATGTAAAAAATTTGAGAAATTTACAAACAAACAGGAGAACAGCTTTCCCACTGAGTACTGCAGTTTTCAGTGCGACAACTTTTCTCTTTCCTCCTGCACTTACGTACATAACTGCGGCCGCCCAATTGGGCTCCGGTACTCCTTCTTCATGGTCTGTGTATAATAGTCCGTATTCTGGTTCGAAATCCCTAAAATCCAAGCGTGCTGGGTTGCTACGCGGTGTATGGGGTCTTTAGTATACGCTCTGTATACTGAAGTCCGTATTCTTGTTCGAACCGACAGTGTATCAGTATACAGAGCGTATACTAAAGACCCAATACACCGCGTAGCAACCCAGCACGCTTGGATTTTAGGGATTTCGAACCAGAATGCGGACTATTATACACAGACCATGCCTTCTTGCTGTGGCGATACTGTTTCGGTGACATGTGACATGAGGCAGGTTCAGCGGCATGATGGAGTAAATCTTATTTGTTATGATCATAATTACCGGTGACATGATGGAGTAAACCTCGTTGAGGTTTACTCCATCATGTCGCCGGTATCGACGCTGATGGTTGAGGCCGTGTCTCATAAACTTATAACGAAAGCGTAAAAGCGATTGCTGTTGAATAAAGGAGTAATTTCCCATGGTATAACGTGCAAAATCTTGGACAACCCAAAACTATAGTCCAATAGCTACTTGCGAAAATATAAACTGCGGTAAACGGAACGACCGCGGTGCTCTGAAGAACAAATTACAGTATATGGTATTAACGTTAAGTATTTCCCGTACTTTTTTATTCCGCAAAAGAAGAATTATCTGTTCAGCGGGCTTTTGAAATTTCCAGGCAGTCTATCGAAAAATAGTACAACATGGTTATTGTAGTCTTGTAGATAAACGTCTTGATCAATGGATTTCTGAATGCCGACTTGTATCCACGCATGAGATCTGAGTATAATCCGTTGCTTTCAACGTTTCAACAATGTGGTGCAATCTTCGCAGCTTGCAGCAAACATTTTTCTTTATTGGATGGTCCATTTCCCGGAGAATTAATTTTATTTTCGCCGCCTTTTTAAGATTATCGCTCGCACCGTTGTTGGCTGTACATCTTTTCTGTATGGCTTCTATTCTGAAAGATTAAGATTTTTTCTATCCATTTTACATGAGAGATTATAGCACGGCTACCGGCAGTGGTTTCTGGAATATGTTTACAGTTTTCCTTAATGCTGAAGCTGGCTTTGAAAGTAAAGCCGATAATCTTCAGTTGCAGCGAGCCAATAAACGTGCTTGTGTCCTTGCTCAACGTATAGTAACATCCGTTTGGCGGCAATCCGATTCGGCATTTGCATTTCCGTTGTCTGCTTTTGCTTCGCCAGTGAAATTTTTGTTAGAATACGGTCATCAACAGATCCGCTCCTTGTCTAAGTTTTATCCAGTTGTTGTTGTCGGTTTCAAACACGGTTTAAATTAAGGTTTTTAAAAGGCCACGTACCTAACCATGTACAGTATACTGTACATACAAAAGGATAACCGGTGTACAGTACATTCTGTAAAGGCGGCAATGATTGCTAGCCCGTATTTTTGTTTTTCAACTTTCCTTTTTTGCAATTATTTGCAACTGTAGAAGTATTCCTTTAACATGTTCATTAAACCCAGCACAGAATTTCGGCTGTTTCAGTTTCTTAATAATTACAATTGACCATGTGGTCGCTTGCAGCAAAAGGAGTACGATATCTTCAATTATTTGCGTTTACTTCTGGGCAGATCCGGTGCCTGCTCAGCAATCTCAGGCGATCGGGACGCCGTTTGGAACGCGATGCCTAGAGTAGAGCTTTAGCCCACGCCATGGACAGAGGGCAACCTACGCACCGTATCGCCCTTCACCATAGTCAGCTTGCTGAAGAGAAAGCCCGGTACGATGCATTATGCATCCGGGTGCGCCGAGCTCGAGTCTACTCCAGCTTCGCCGACGATTTCTCGCAATCTTATTGATACCTGTTTCAGGTACGCCATCTTAGGGCTAATAATTTCTTGTGAAGGATGCATAATATAATAATATCTATATTCGTATAATAATATAACTCAGTACCAAACGGATGAAGGATGACAGGACAGTACGGCAGAAAATTACTGTATCTTTCTCCATGTTTTGCAGTACTAAAGCAACGTTCTGAAAAAGCTTTTGCCTGGAAAGCTTTAAAAATCGATGGTCATAGCCTCATAGGTACGCGATTCCGGAAGAAATGGTCTACCTATTTTACCCCATGGCAGTCAAAACACTCAGTATCGATCGGTACTTTTGGTACGTCTTTCCCGGAGTTAATTCGTTTTGTTTGATAGAGTGTTTCGTGGAATGACAGGAGAACCTGTAGTTGTACTGCGTTTTTAAAGCAGCGCCTAAGCCTGGCTATCAAGGGAAATTCTGCTGTGTGATGGGTACAGGCTACAGCGAACACGCGCATTCAGATGTCGGACGGCACTAACGGTTTCAGTTGTTTTTTAACGTTAAAATGTGAATCGTGTTAACTGTGTGCATTGTGGTCGTACTGGTGGCTATTGCCCATTAAAATAGACAGTACAAATCCGTGTTTTTCGTTCTTTGAAAATGGTTTTTGTTGACCATATGTTCAAAGGCGATTGAGTGGCACTAATAATGAAGGCAGAGGTCACATCTTTATAACCGGATTTCGACGTTCGCAAAATCCTTAATAAATGTGTATGTAAAGCCGCGATTTCATGCGCATCCTGTAGCACCTGCCGTACGAAGGCGTAGCTGCACTGTATCACGGTACACCTAGTGCAACGGAGAACATGAATGATCGCCATTTCTAGGATTCTCGGGTTGGTTCCATAAGCCAGTGCTGATGGGATCTTGCTTTCGATCGCGGCGAAATTCATCAAGCAACGCCTTCTGCGTCAGTGAGCTTTCCCTCCATGTCTGTCTGCATTTATCAGGGTTCTCAAGCGGATGGAGCGATTCGATATCTGCAGGGACCAGGCACTGTAAAGACCATTTTCGCATTCGCATTTGAATTGTGGGCTGTGGCTTTTGTGCTGCGCTCTGATTTTACGATTTGAAATCTTCTTGCCCGGACAATTTAAGCAGAGAAGGTAAGAATTCGTCTAGATTAGAGCACGAATACGGGAATAGAAGCAGCGTACTGTATTAATGCTACCGTTATTGTTAATTTAAAACAGACTGGGTCCCACTTTCGAAGCGAATCTAGCTTTGGAATTGTTACTGTACTCAACCGCACGAGGTGGCTGTATGCAGTGGCCACGCACACAGACACGGTTAGCGAGGCCAAGTTGCCAACTCGCGAGGTTGGAACTGCTGTATCGAAATCAGATTCGCTTCGAATTAGGAACCACCAGTCCCATCTTATCACTTGTGCTGTTGTGCATAAACACATTATTACGCATATGATCGCCGTACCCACAGTCACCTTTCTCAAGCACTTTCAACAGGATTATCCTACCAACCGCATCCAGTCATGTGTGGCGGATTCCAGCAGAAGAACAGTGTACATGTGCGGGGGCGCGACGGCCGGTTGCGCTACGGTCGCGTAGTGGACGTGACAAAGGAGGGACTCTTCGTTGATTTGCTTTGTGCCAACCGTCATCGCGAATTTTATTCGAGCAATAACTGCTTCTTGCCGCGTTTTCTGCCCGGAGAACTGCTGGCCCGACTCGACGCTGCACAACTATCGACTATTCCTGTGGTCGTTTTGGTCCCGGAGACGCCGTCCGGTCCGTGGATTTGGTCGGCGGGTGAAATGCCCCGTCAGGGACGCGGTGTGCGGTACGCCGGATACGAACAGGTTGTGGTCCATTGGCAAGATTCTGTCACAGGATTATCCTGCACGGATATCATCCCGATCGACCGCATCCTTTGCCCGTTGTTTAATAACAAACAAGGTGAGTTAGCTGGACCTGCACTTCTTCAGATGATGGTCGACGAGGAGCTTAAAAAACGGGCTGCAGTTCAAACTGTCGATTGTGCTACACTGCATCGGCGCATGGCTCCCAACATGTTTGCCCGGGTGAGTGTGCAGCTGGCCGAGGAGGTGGGCTCGCTGCCTATGGAAGGGGCCCAAACACTAATTAAGCGATGGAACGCCTGCCGGCAGTGTTTACCTACAGATGTTAGCTTTGTTAGCCTCGTCGCTGACCGATTGGACTGCATCTGCAATTCGGCTACGATTCGCCATTGCACAAGCCAAAAACTTCTGGTAATCATGTTTTGCTTGGAATCAGAGATAGGTTTACAGATTTTGTTTTGCTATACGGTTTTCAGAATGACGTAAAACGATTTTATGATGACTGGGTGTACCCGAAGAAGAAGAAGACGACAGTGACAAGGGATGATTGCAGCGCGCTGTCTGCTGAATTGTGGCGGGAAGTGTTTTCTCAGCTCGACACGGTGACGCAGACGCGATTGCGTACTGTTAGTGCTACGTGGAACGAGATCATGGATTCGCCAACAGTGGAGGCCAGTATAGTAATTAACCGCTATGTACAGTGCGCGTGGCCATTTGATGCAGACAAACAGTGCAGTTTTCTCATGTCGCCGGCTCTCTATAAGCGCCTACGCACCGGCACCCGTCATGTTGTGCTGGTGGATCGAGAACGGGACGAGGTACGTAGGAACTGGAGATAAATAATAAAACGTTTTCTACAAGTGCTTATTTATGCAGTACGTGCCGGGCCGAGAGCGAATGATAAGAACTGAGGATCTGCTGAAAGTGCCGGACATGATCCATTACGTGGCGCAGCAGCGAACAGCGATGCGCCTGACCACTCTGCATCTGATCGACGCGCACCTGAGCATGCTGATTACCAGCTCAACCAACAGCCTTGACCCTACGCCGTGTGTACTGCATGCCAGTAACCCAGCGTATCAGAAAGCCTACGCTCCGATTCGCACCTACTGCCGTCTCGAGGATTTCGTGCGGATCGGCCATGGTTTACCGTGTGAGACACTCCACATGGTGGACTGCGTCATCAAATGGTTCTGTCCCTTAGACACGCAGAAGGGCCGCAGACGAGGCCCCGTTTTGACGATGGAACTGCCCGAGGCACGCTTGATGTTCAACGGGGATTTCGGGTGCACACTGTGGGCGGTATGCGAAGCGGCGTTGCCGGCACTGACTGACGCGGAAATGCGCGAGCTGGACCAGTGGTTGACAGGTGTGCTCCATCTAAGTGATGATCACCCAGACAAAGTTGCCGTCTGCAAAGTATGGTGGACAGCTGGGTTTCTATCTCGCTTCTTAACATGTAGTGTGATAAATACCTAGTACATAACAGTCTTCCGTTGGCAGACGTTGTGCGCTACGCAGTCGAGTGATCCGCGTCCGTCCGTACATTACCGGGGGAAGAAGTGGTGCTGCGACGGCCTGGGAGAGGTGGAGCTGTCGAAGCTGTCGCGTATATCGCTGCACTTTTTCAAGCAGTTAGCACTGCCATCGCGCAAAGGTTGGAAGTGTGCTTGACGGCCGGTGCCATCCTGAGCTGCGTAATAACCATCATTTGAAATGATCGTACGAGATAATAAATGATTATTATTATCATAATGATAGTAGGCATGAAAGTATTAATATTTTACATGACATAGGCAGTGTGATCATATTATTTTGTGGGCGCATTTTTTCGTTAACGTTTACGCTGCGGATATTCTATGTCCTTTTTAGAGAGCACGGCCATGTAACGGCTTTATCTGGTTTTTTTCTGCAATCTGTATCATTTTTCGTCGGTATAATATTATAATATTTGAGCTGACTGTAATTCACGTATCTGATTTCTATAAACCTCAATTACTCGCCACCGTTTATTGTTCCATTTTGGCATCATGCGTAATACAACACGGACGGTGACGGACCCACTATGCAGCATTAATTTCGTATTCGTAAATTATTTGCATAAACGACTGTGGGGTAATAATAATTTAATAATTCGGTGATTTCATCAAGTACAACCTGCTTTTAACGCATGATAGCAGTTTACACGCGTCATAATAATCATTTCCGATGCGCAGTGTGTTCCAAAATATACCGCTTGTAGTCTTCGCTAGAGTTACGAGCCTCGTACTCACCAACCAGCAGCAGCGGATGAGCACAGGAATTCAGCGTGGGAACTAGACCTCAGTTTAGGAGACAGCTTCATCGGGAGCAAATTTAGATCAGTTATTCTTTATAGTTTATACATACACTTCCTGCGATTGTTGTACAGGGTATGTTGACTCTGTGCACTGCGATTTTTAATTGCCTTTCTATCGCACCAATTAGAAATACAATTATAGCATTTAGCTGAAATAAACGCAATAAGTATAAAATGAAATAAATGTTTCAAAGAACTGCGCCCTCGATGTTTAAAAATTAATAAAACTGTGAAGCCAGAAAGGATTTATAAAGCCACAAAATTAGTAACTCTTGTAACATTTCCTAGAGGATCGAGGTAAGCACACCGTTATTGCACCAGGATGCCAGGGCTATCGCCATTATTGCAGTTCTGACCATGATGAGAAGTGGCTGAGAACCGCAATAACTGCGATCACCCAATTAGGCATTGATACGCCATCTTGCTCCGGCGGTACTGTTGCGGTGACATGAGCGTGACACGCTAGTAGGTCGTTCGTAATCCCAAGTATATTGACTGTATCGTGTCGCCGGTAACAATGCTGATGATGTAGTGTCTCATTTATAACGATAATGAAATAAAGTTTGGTGCTGTATAGATGGGTAATGGCACGTTGTACAGATAAATGTGACTTGTAAAACAAAATTGGACAATCATAAGCTAATGATAAAATTACAAAATGCGGCAAGCGAAACTAAACAGCCTTGGTGCTGTTAAAAACGAATCATATAGTCTTAACGTTCAGTACTTGCCGTATGTTATTATTTAACGAAAAAAGATTTATTTATTGAAGTCTCTTTTGAAATTTCCAGATGATTTTGTTAAATGTAGGAAATGATGGCTCTTGCAGATGCCTACCGTGGTAAACGGATCTTTGAATATCGATTGCATCCACGCATGGGGATTATCGTAAAATCCGCCATTGACAACGTCTCAACATTGTGTTGTATTCTTGCGGCTTCCTGTCAATATTTTCTTTATCGGAATGTCCAGTTGTGTTCTCCCGGCGCATAAATCTTGTTTTCATCACCTATTTCAGAATATCGCTTACACCCTTGTTTGCTGCACATGTTTTCTGAAGCGCTTCTTCTGTTTTGAAAGATTTATGTTTTTTCTTTTCATTATGCATGAGAGATTACAGCACAGCTATTGGCAGTGGTTTCTGGAACGTTTATGATTTACTTTAATGCTGACGCTTTGAAAGTAAAGCCGATAGTCTGTAATGGCAAGGAGCCGATAAACAGGATTTGGTAACTGTCCTACATTCAAGCCCCCAAAAATTAATCAACGATTTCACGGCATTGTTTAACAATATAAAAAGGTGACCACTCCGTACACACCCTTTCACACCCTTTTACTCCGTACACAACCTTTTGCACTACCTTTCATTCCGTGCACAACCTTTTTGCGCTACCTTTCATTCCGTGCACAACCTTTTTGAACACTACCTTTTACTCCGTACACAACCATTCGGCACTACCTCTAAGTACTTTTTTTATAATTTTTTCACAGCAAAGTTACTTCTGGTACTTCCGTTTTTCGTTAACACATTTCAAAGCATCATCGTCAGTTACAAAATCGAATTCCCGGTAAAGCTTTTTGCGTGTTTTTCAGCCTCTTTCAGTTTATGCTTTTCTCGATGGCAAACAGGGTGAAGGGTGTCCTCCGATGTTCATCGAAATATTTTTTAAACTGACTGAACGTTTAAAACTGCGCGCCTTGAAATATCGAAGAATGAGGATTAGAATCCACACTATTACAATCACAATCTTCGATTTCCTAGCTGGACATAGTGCAAAAGTTTTAGAGAAAATACTCCAAATTACCATATGGACTTCTATACATAACAGTTATCAAAGAACTTAAAAGGACTGATTGCAGTAAACGTTTAATAAGACTTTTACGGATAGTTTAATAAGACTTTTTTACGGTAGCGTGGATTGGTAGTGTACCGAGTGAATGGTAGTGTCAAAGGTTGTGCACGGAATGAAAGGTAGTGCCCGAAAAGGTTGTGCACGGAATGAAAGGTAGTGCCAAAGGTTGTGTACGGAGTAAAAGGGTGTGAAAGTGTGTGTACGGAGTGGTCACCATATAAAAATGGCTATTGCCACCACCTTTCAATTTATTTTCTTAATTTTTCCACCAGCGGTTCTTTTCCAACTCTATTCCTCCACCACCGACAGGCCTGTGCAAAGGCGCCAGGCGAAGCTTATTGACGCTTAATACATCGCTAAGATGCGGCCTCGTTTTTTAAAAATTAAACTTAACATCTTCAGGGTTTCTTCACTTTTTTTACTGATGAGTTCCGCAACGAATGCGATCGCAAACGTCCACAATGATGACCATCCCTTTGATGCTGCAGTCTGCACATACGGAAAGAAAATTTCGACGTGTCCTCGCTTCCGGTTGATCTTGACACTTTCTTAATCATTGGTGCCGACGCTGGTGGTACAGAGTCATAAACAAACGGCTGCCCCTCTATCCGCGCTAACAGCACTAAGTGGTCGCTGGCACGTCTTTGTACCTTTCCGGTAGTTTACAATCTTACTTAATTGGCTGAAAGGCCAAGCTAGCAACAATGTATTTTTTATAAGAAATGGCCAAGGAGTGCCAATAGTCAAAGGGGGTGAGAAAGGTGGTGACTATAGCCTAAGGGTGTGTTCACTTTATTTAAAAAAGGGGGTGACAATAGCCAAAAGTGGGTGCGAGGGGGTGACAATAATCGCACCCTAATAATATTGCATCCTGAATTGGTTTCATCATTAAACTTGACACCGTATCTGTACGACGATGTGGCCGTTAACTAATAATTTTACGTGGTAGGTAAAGCTCTTCCTCCGTTGAAAAAAATGAACATTTCAAATTTAGCAAATTCGATTATTAATCACAGTACCTATCTTTTTCAAAAATACAACGCTGACCACCTTAAACTACAGCATTCCGTTTTTACCAATTTATGTTGTATGCCTTTAGTATATATATCGTATGTATAATTGTTTTTTGCAAGTATGTACTTACTTGATAGAGAAATAGCATGAAAGAAAAACAGATAAGAAAATCAAGCACATTAAAATATTTAGTTACAATTACGGCCAAAGTTCGGATTTATCGTACAAATCACCAAGGAAAAAACAGACAGTTACTTCAACAACAGTCTGAACCTTCGGCGAATTTAAATTTTTACAGCATTTAGAAATATACACCTTTTTGTTAAGGACTCTTGACTGTACTCATGGTATTATCAGCCATACTATCCATATTAAAACGCTTTGTACTGACAGGACATGAGGCAACGAAACATATGCAATAAAGCCACAATTTTTCCGTGAACATCCATAGCAAATGTATAAGAGTACAAGCCCAGCACGGATGAATATTGGCCGATGACTATCAAAAAAATAAGTAACTCCGAGGATGTGTTGATTTGCAGTCGCTAACAAACTGTCATATAACATTAATAAACCCGTACGTATGTTTAGTAATATCTATATTATGATACATTTTACATAAGTTAATCGAAACCGGAAACACGGACTGTTTACTTGTACATACAGTACATAACTTGCAATGATGTCTGACGTGGTAATGACTAACGTGTTAAGTTACAGTATATGAATTTTTTACTCTGTATTGTACTCGTACTTATTGTTAAGTACTCTGTAGCAGCTCAGATATTATTTCTACTGTTCTGGGTCAAGTTGTGTTAGAACAGTGTGTATTTCTTATCGCGTCCATGGTAACAAGCTTATGATTGACCACTGGACCCAGACAAATGATTTTGGCAAAAAGTCAACATTCTTGGATCCACCGCTACACCTAGAGAATTTTGATGTACTTTAAAGCAACAAAATTGGTGAAGTAGAAGCCGAGATCCTTCGCCTCAAAGGACAGGGGCCGAATTCCTGGCACAGATAATCAGTATTCATATAACAATTTCTATGTGAATAATACGTAGTGTCACACTTCAGAACGTGAGCGATTGAGCCTGAAACTTGTGTGCTCGTATTTATCGTTTACAGTGTCAGTACTCATAGGGCCACTGTAAAATGACTGGATCATGACCTTTGGCAGTGGTCGTGGCAGTCTAAGCGATTCAGTCACTGTATTTATTTTGATGTCTCTTGGAATCTCGGGCCTGGTAACATGAAGTACTTACCTTTGAGCAAACCGAATGTGATGCATAACCCTTAATCATTCAAAACAGTATCCGCAGCCGGAAATTTCCAATATCGCCAGTTAAGTTTACTTATTGTTTCAGTTGGCCAGTACCATTATGGTGACATATTCTGTTGACAGTTTTGGGAGCTGCTAAATTAAGTGGTGGATACTCATCTACCTACGTACCGTTACGTACATACTGTACTGTCTGTACATAAATACTGTACATAAATCATACATACATACTGTACATAGTGTACATAAATCATTATAAGGCACACTATTCGTAAATGTGACGTTTTAGACGCCTAATCATCAAGATATGTACTTATTTTTTTAAAATTCAGTTACATGCAAGTGTCCATATCCCATAACCCATTCATCAAATACGTCGTCTATTTAAAAAAGCATTGGTACCGTCCAGCATCGCCTTTGGTGACCTTGTCAAGTACCAACTCGGAATCACAATGGCAATCCGCAGAAGTTCCGCTGTTGACAGAGCCACCGGCCTCAGCCTTAAACGATGGTATAACAGCGGCAAATAGCAAATGCTGATCTTTGCGCCAAATAAACCGCCTGCCATATGCCCGGTACTGCAGCGGACTGCTACTGAATCTTACTGAACATACGAGGCTAGCTTCTTCCCAAACTTTGGGGGTAACATTGGCCATCGGTGGATCGAGTACCTGATTGGGAAACAAACGCGGACTGATTACAAAGCGCTGGTTAACATAACTCTCACTGCCATTGACGCCCAGGCATTCGTATGTACCCGCGTGGGCATGCGAAAAATCCGTCAACATAATTTGGTAGTACCCAGTTGCATTATAATTCTCGGGCATGATGACTCGCATACTGTCTGCCGGGGGTTTTTTTATAGCGTGATTCCGGGCTGCAGCAGCGATAATTTTTTTCCCGCCAGTTGCTCAAGATGGGATGCGCGAAATTTAACAGCTTGCCGTTGAAGCGAATAAGAGGGTGCGGCGGCAGCTGACTAGATCCATTAGAATGGCATTGTAAAGTTAAGTTTTCCCCTTGTGGTTTCCTGATAACAATATCAGATGGCCTAACGTCAACCGGAAAGTGCGGCAGAGGCTTCGACATGTTTTTCATAACAATTATTCCGACATTAAAATTTGACAAGGCTACCACTTCGTCCAGGTATCGTTGTACTGCAAAATTGTAAAACAATAGTAACGATGTAGTTCATTTTTTGGCTGATTGGAATAAGCGTTTCCTTGAGTAAGCAAAGTTTTGTTAGCTTGAATCTGAAATAGTACAGTACTGTACTGATAGTAGCAGTATGATAGTACGACAGAAAAGCTTATAAAATGGAAATCACGATCCTCGTATAAGACTCAGCACAGAAGACATACTCCTGTCACATCAAAATTCGGCTGGTCTGACCGTTTGGTGTTAACTTTTAAATTTTCGACTATCGAAGAGTTTAGTGTCCACCTTTCTGCTGAGGACTAGGGGTTGTACTCATGGTATTAGCAGGAATATCCTTAGTGCCAACAGGACATGAAGCCACAGTAAATAAGCAAAAAATGCCACAGAACGCAAGCAAAATATTCCTGTAAACATCCATAGTAAACGCATATTGTTATAATCTCCTTCCTTTGTAAACCGTACGCAATCTTTACTGTACCTTTGAGCGTGACGATCGAACTTGGAGCGTGTGCGCTTCTGTTTATTTTTCTTAGTCCGAATACATTCCTTTCTTCACTACTTGGTATTCGTGGCACTGTAAATGTTACTCAATGTGACGGAAATCTTCTAACTCATGGCCTTTTTCGATCGAATCAAAGTACTACTCGTGGCAACAGTAAGTACTGCACAAACTTGAAACAACACTTACACCGTCTAGAACTGTTTCTAAAGTCTCACAGGATCTGGTGCTAGGTAACAGGGACCAGTAAATTGTGGTGCAGACGGCACAACTGCAAACGGCAGCCGCGAATTTTCACTGCTGTGTATCGAAAACAAAAGGCTATACTTATTTAATTTACGTAGATAGTGCACACAGATTGATTATTGTAAACCTAGTTTTACAACTTATTCGTTTCAGAGCAAACCTCGCGGGTGTGTTTGTTGCTTTCGCGAGCGTTATCGAACTGTCGAAATCACAAATCAGGATCGACTTTGCCAATGCCGTACCGCGTAAGACACATTCCACGATACTCGTAATTTATTCTGAAGAAGCTTATCTAAAAGCGCAAGCGAAAAATTGTCTTACACTGAACTTTCAGCCCTGCCGCTCCTAGTCTGGACACGTTTTTCAAAAATTACTGTAAAAAAAACGGCAAAAAATATGACTTTATCAAGATTTACACGATCACAATTTTCGTCTGGCGTTTTTTGCACTTGGTTTTTCTAAGCTGAAGCGCGTTTCGAGTTACAAAGGCAAGACCTGGGCTTTAAAATGCTGCTCGCGCGGCTGGTTGACAGCGAGTAACAGCTGCGAGTTGACCCACAGGTATACAGAGGGAATCGGCCTTCTCTTAATATTTTGCTTAGAAAGATGGTGTTATATTCGCAAAAAAAGCGAATCTGGGATGTTTGTCATTCATTTTTTTGGCGAAATGTGCTGGTACCATATCGGCACCGGTGCCGATCGCTTCGAAACCAGTTGAATCAGCGTGACTTTTGCACTGATCCTGCGGACATCGACTTCCCTTGTACATACAGCCGCAAGATATCCGATGCCGTAGAAAACCGTTTCTGATAAATTTTCGGCAAAGCAAGAAAAGGTCGCTCGCATTAATGATTACGCAAGTCAGTCGAACGCGTTAGCCGTCAAATCAATATCGTTTTCGAGTTTCCAGGTACTGTATCTTAAAATTACGCATATACTGTAAACACGTAGCGTTTAAGCTACAGTAGAACTGTACGTAAGTGCGGCAAATACGTACGGTGCATCTTCTTAATAATCGTGAAACGTTAGCAATATTGATGTTATCTTTTTCACTATGAATCGCGAATATCGTTCCATCCTTAGGCAATGGATGCTTTCTCTTCAGTGCCTGAAGTGTTGCATTTGCCGTTCGAAAGTCAACCCCAATCAACTCGTCCACCACGACGCCCTACTGCCAGAAACCCAATCCCATCGAGACTGACCTCTAACTCCATAAAACTGTCATTTAGAAATGTTGGATAGTCATTTGACATTTGCGATTTTCGTTTTGAAACTGATCTCAGTCTCAATTGCTGGTTTTAAAGCCTCATTACAGTGTATGTAAAATACCGAATGGTTGTCCTCAAGAATATCTTCACTTTGACCTTATAATATGTTTAGCTAAAAGTTGAAAAACCTGGTGTAACTTCAGCGCAAATCATTAAGAAAATATCAAAATATCAAATTACACCTGCTTAGTTGAAATTTAAGTATTTACTCCAGGTTGGCTGCAGTATGCAATAAGCTTTCAATTTTATCACCACATTCGAAATGTAAATCCCTTTATGCTTCGACGCAGTGGTGCTCGACACTGCTCGATGTGGCCGTTGTTGCCTATATTCCTGGTGCGAAAGGGTTGTCTCTCGTAAAAAGGAGTGGAATGGGACACCTACACCGATTTCCCACGATATCCTAAATGAAATCGAGAGCGGTACTTGACTGCTTGTCAAACGTAGTGGCGTAGTAAACGTCTTAGGTCTTTTGCTTGGCGTTAATTACACAATTTACAGTGTAAGAACATTAATTTTAACAATAAAAATATTTACATAAGAACATTTACGCGTTATTGACATGAAAGCCGTCAGGAAACGCCATTCGTCTTTCCTGTAACCGGCGTAAGCTAAATTTCTTTCGGAAATTACGAGTATATATACCTCTGAATGCAGAAAATTATTTCGTGGAATCGTTCATTTCAGTAATAATTATAAATTATAATGTACAGTAGAATGGCCGAGAAAAGGATTAATGCATGGGAGGAAGTGGGTGTCACCCCAACACACCCGTAACGCGAAACCGCATTCACGTACCATGAGTGTACTGCAAATACCATTACAAGTACAGTATTGTTATATGAATACTAACTACATAACCATACACGTTATATGAATACTAACTACATAACCATGCACTGAGATTGTGGCATCCATATAACGTTGCGCAAAATCGCAATATTGCCTTTTCGAGGCTATCAAAATTTTGCATTCGCAGGTTGAAAGTTGGTGCTGAAAAAAAGCGGCGCTGGTGAAACTATCAATAGTTTTAAACATGTTTAAAATACCCGTGAAACGCCACAATCATCGCCTCCAGGCCTGGTGCAGTGTACTGTAATTGTAAATGAAGGGTTTTCGAGCTGCTTTATTTCAATGCAAATTCGTGAGTGGTTTTTGTTGCTCTTCGAGAGCTCGTCCTAATCGAGCTGTTGAAATCGGGATCCACTTTGCCGATGCCGTAGCGCATGAGACGTTGAAGCGAACGAATCCATTTCGCCAACATTGCGCGATATTCGCGGTTCATTCCGAAGAATATTATCTACACACGCAGAACAAACCTGCCTTACGAGTACGCTAAAAAGTACACGAAGCGAGGACATTCAGTAAGACTACGAGTATTTACGTAAAATGCATTCACAAGTGCATACAGTTCCTGGCTAAAATGCATCAGCGTCGATACGCTCCGATTATGCTCGGTCAAAATTATGGCACACGCGCATACGTACCGGATTACCAGCGTATCCCAGCATGAAAATCAACCGCAGCCACATCGCCAACACCGGCTTCCTCTTCAATAATCCGCTCCGATCAAAAATCGTGATTGCTGTTTGCGGAAAGAAGCAGACACAATGCCATACCGCCGTGACGAAGAGTACCACCGCCAGCCGAAACGAGCGCCGATGAAATGGCGAGCTGTGGATAGTGCTCTTCCACCACAATCCCCGCAGTACCGTCACATATGCGATAATGTAAGCATAATGCAGTCCGGTAATGCCCAACGGAACATACGTGGACAACACCTGGTTGATTAGATTGGCGGATGGCGAAAATGACCGGATGCCGCAGCCGTTTAATGGTGGAACCGTTTCGAAACGGGATCCCCAGCCGAAGACGACCGGTAGGAAAATGCTAAACGAAATCATCCAGGTGACGACAATCGTAGTGACGTTGACGGTGTACTTGGCCCAATATGTGCGGTAGAAGACGGGGAAACAGATAGCCATCAGCCGGTTCAGCGAGAGAAACGCGGAGGACCAGTAGCCGGCAGTGCGGAATACGGCAAAGGGCAGCTGGATGAAGGTGCAACCGACCGGACTCATCTTTAAGCAAACAAATAATTAGGTTTTACCATAAATATTACTTTTCAGGCTAAAACAATTAAATCTGAAAATTCACAAAGCTTAGAATTCTAAAGTACTTAGTTAAATTAACTAACTTGATTTCAATTAACAAAAAATACTTTTTGTTTTAGAATAAAATTTTTATTGGTTAATAATGACATCGTATTTGTCTGAGTACATAAAGAAGGAAATCGGTCTTTTAAAATAGCAAATTAATCCTTAGGCTTACGGAATATTGCCCATATAGGACTTGCGTGAAATTAATGGGACCAGTAATGCAGCACATAATCAGCTCAACCGCTGTTGCGTGGACCATTAATAACTTCGTTCCATTGCGGTCGCCGGTAGTCCGTCGTACAGATCGTATCCAGTGCTCCCACACAGCACCCATTAACATAATGCACATGACTCCGCCCATGCCGCATACCACCCCCATTAACAATGTTTACGTGAAACCACAAATCTGTGTGTTTCGGGTGAGCGAATCAGAAAAAACGGCATGTGATACACAAAAGTGCATGTCGATTCATTCAAATCACTTTCGCGCCGACTGATAACGTCTGGGCAGTTACATTTCTATCTGATGCAGCAAGAAAGCTGTCGTGATAGAACATATTTCTTTCGGAAAACACAAAAACCGATTTCAGCTGACAAACATTTGCCGGCAATTGAGCTTTCACATTGCCACTGTCCAAACCCGCATAACATGTTTTGCATTATGTGCTGTTTCATTATTTTATTTATGCTTGTACAGAAGCAAAAAGGCTGAAGTTCATACACCTTTACTGTAAAAAATAGTTTTAATTACCGTTGCACGTTCACGTGGCATGAGCGTACAACGATGATTAAGCTATACGTTAATTAATGCATATGCATAAGAGTCTGATATGCACTTTACGTCTGGAAATCACCCCTCTGCACTAATTAGAATGCATGGCGCTGAACTGTTTATCAAGGATGAACTGTTAAGGACCGAACACAAAACAGTAAACCGTAAACTGCAATATTGCTGATGGGGTGTTGCGACTGTTTTTATAATCATTACAGCGATTAACTTATAATACTTTACGAAAAGCATTGGCTACATACTTTCTTTTTCTTAATATAGAAAGGTCATGTACTAATTGTTGACGCATACGCTGCTGATATTCGTGTAAAGCCATGCAGTAATTGAGGATGCAGTTTGTACGTAGGTGCGGTATATACTGTACGTTGCGACCGCGTACCTTGAAGATTAGGCTTTTCTTATTATTGAATATTTAAGTATTTTTACCTAATAATAATTGACTACGTATTCTGTTCTACTTGTTTTTTGTATTCCCGACAATTTAAAAATTTCGATTTGCGTACTGGACAAAACATATTCCATGTTGTTCCACTTGTCAAATAATTACAAAAATTGAATACTGTATGTAATAGTTAAGTATTATTTTACGCAAGCGTGTACACGAGATTAATAAAACCACTTACAGTGGAACCTCCCGACCCTGAACACCCTCTGTACGCAATTTCTTGTTCAGGGT